GTCCCTCTTCCAACAATATTTCACTGTAATCCAACTTGTTATTTGACAGCATACAACAATGCAATTATTTTGAAGGTTTATAATGCAGTGGTGGAACCAGCTCATCATTAATGAAAGTAAGGGGGGGGGTGCCAAAAATGGAGGTGTCTTTAGAGTAAATAAATACTGGTACATGTAACCAGCAGGAGAAACAGGAAAGCAGGCAAGACATGCCCCTTCAAACAAAGCAAACTAACATGTAAAAAAAAAAAAAAAAAAAGGGGTCCTATGCCCCCAAACCCTCTGGATTTGCTATGGTGAACCAGGTACGTCACTTAAAGAATCTCTACTTGTAAGAAAAACCACCTTTTTGGAATGAAAAAGGCTTTAAATACAATTATATATCAAAGGACCATAAGAAGTCAGAGTCTGGTTTAATAATTTCAGAAATCAACCATTGTATATTTATTTGCTATCTGATCGAAACAGCCCTGGCCATCTTGGTTTGGAGAAAAGCCTTAAGATCAGTCTTTTGTTAAAGAAAATGTCAGCTATTTATTTATTGATACATTGATTAGCACCGAAAAAAGTTTACATGTATATCAATAAAAAGAAAACAAAACCTTAACTCATGCTATTTTGTATGCTTACACAGTAAAGAGAGTGATTTGGCTCGTCATATGTGGCTAGTCTCACTGTTAAAATTCACAGAATTTGCTTTTCTACTGGTACTTATTTTTAATTAATGAAAAGAATAAAAATGAATAAAACCAACACTAATGAACAGAAGGATACATGTACATGTAGTTTTGAAATCTAGAAGTTACTCCTTATTTTCATTAAAATGTCAAATGCTAACTAGTCGTGCTGATACAACTTCAAGTAAATGTTATCACTACATCAAAGTTCTCATCAAATCTTGTGCAGTAACGGCATAACAACAGGATGGAGCGTATGTCTTGCTTTCTAAGCCAAAGTTTCAGTTTTGAATCCTCCTCTGTAGTCGCCAGAGATTCAACCACACCTCCAGCAGATAAAGTAGCAGTGTAGATGATGTCGCATATATTCAAGGAAAGAGAGCTGTGGATATTCTCTTCTAAGCCGATATGTCAACTTACCAGTTCTGTATAAAAAAAAAAATAGTAAAATATAGACAGGTTTAGTATCTGATGATCAAAAACAATGATTACTGTGGACATGCTTAGAAGAAAGAAAACAACTTGTTCAATCTAGAGTTAAATTACTAGAAAGATCATGTGCTCGATCCTTTTGCCTTCCACTGTAAATATGTAAACATTGGTAGCTTTTGAGAACCAACCTTTTCAGCTTCCAAAGCAATATCAAGAAGTTTTCATTTTGAATATTCTATTAAAGTTTATTTTTGTTTTTAGCACTCTAAATAACAATCGAAACGTCTTACCGGTATAAAGATCCAAGGCCAGTTCCTTCGGCTTCTAAATCATTTCATGATTCCAACAGTTCAGCAAGCTGGGACATTCTCATGAAACTTAGTTGTTGATCGGGGTTGAACAGTCAGTCGCAAAACATCTCCCTTTTCCCGACGTTCATCCTTGATATATATAGAATCAAATAGTAATTTTTATAAAAAGCTATTTTGCTATTTTATACAAACGGAAAGACCACCCTCATAGCTCCTCCATAAAAGTATCCTTCAACAATGGAGAAAGAGACTGCACAACATTTCATTATGGGATTTTGTGCAGTACCCGTTGTACTTTGGCAGCTTACTGTTAGACATTTATTTTCAGTGCCAGAGGTACTCGGTTTGAATCATGGAATTTTAAAAAAAAAAAATTTACTGGGGTTTTCAAAGAAGATATATTTGTCATTGAAGACATTTTCCTTCATTGACTTTAGAGAATTTCCTTAAAAGGAAAGTAAAGTCCGAGAACCATTCGGTAGACAAGTGACGTACCCAACAGTCGACTGCCGTAGAGAAAAAAAGGTGGGTTTTTTATTACCAGGTATCTGTTATCATTTTGAATGGTATCTTTTGCAAGAAAATAAAATGTTCCTATGCATTTTCAGTTGACGCCATCCAAATCAATGCCGTTCTGTGCATTCACGGTGCATCATGGTAACAACCAGCTTTGTTTTCGCATTGCGTTTTTATTGTTTTTATCGTTGCGTCACCCCCCAGTTTCCCTCAAAGAAATTAAAACCGTACCCTTAATTCAAGGCAATTTAACCCAAACATACATTTTTGTCCTCTTTTGGGGCACATAAATACACAATCGCCTTCATTAAAATGTCATGTAGGCCTACCTCCAACGGAAGTTCTGCTTGTTGTACTGTAATGTAGCAGCTTGTCCTTGAATTGAGGTTTTCATCGAAATCAAAATCCTGGTTGAGTTTGTGTGCAGCATGACATGTGGATAGGCAATTCAAAGAAACTTTAACTTTGCCCGGAGCTTTTTCGGTGAAGAAATCTGGGTCTCAGCTGAAGTGTCTGGTTTGCGTTTGTTTGCAGCATTGAGACGTTTACTATCTATAAAAACCGCCACGGGTGAGGTCGGCCGGCCGGACTGCCTTGTTTACATGCGCCGGTTATGCCGGTAGTGTACTGTACATGTACAGACACAGCAGATACACGGGCACGGCCCACACATCGTGGGTATATTCAGCGATGCCACTGTGAAATTCAGCCACTCTTTGCACAGGAAGTGAACTTACTATCACCAGACATCAGATCCTTCGCATTTTCCCCCTCAAACGTGACAGATTATGTGTGCAAACACAGGCTTTTTTGCATCGGTCGATGTTTACGTTGACGCACTTTTGGCAATGGACGCCGCCATGTTTGTTAAGTGTCATGACCTGCGACCTCATATCTGGTGTCTAATTGGACAGTTCACATCACATGGTACGATGCGTCACACGCGGCGGATTTTTTTAACGTAGGCGCGGTACGTTTTTGAACGTCCACAATGGGCAAATAGTTCGCTTTTTCGAGTCAAATTATAAAAAAACTGCGGGACGAAATGTGGAGAACTTTTGTAGTATCATTCTTTGGCAGTGTATTTCGGTAGAACTGTTAAATTTTTTTAGACCCGCGATTGCTGGAGCGAAACGAACGAATTTTCCCATCCAGCTGACGGCCTAAATGGTCGCTGCAAAGACGATCGTGCTTTGTTGGATTCCATTTGCTGCCATTTGGAATATTTCTCATTGATGTGTTCAAACTAGGAGAATGGTGCATTTTCTTTAATCACCCACATCCCACAACAAAAAGTGACTCCCAATCCTCGTTCCAACGCGGAGTCGGACTATTATTGAAAAGCAGGAGAGGGGAGGGTGATGTTAGGCCAGAAATAATTGTTATTCGATGTTCAGGATCAGGAGTACCATCTTAACTTTTAAAACAATACACTGTAAATATTTTAAGTAGGCCCTACGCGGCTATTACAAAATTCGGAGGACTGGATCACACATGGGGGATTTTTCTCCACACCCATTCCTGTGATTTATGCCCATTTGGCATTGCGAAACGTAGCCTATATTGAGTTAATTTTTATAAAAGCTGTCTTGTTCGAAATGTACTCTCAAGAGATAAATTCTGTGTATTAAGTTACTCACACATGATGTTAACTTCTTGAGAGCCTGTCCTCCGGGTCCCATTCTCCGTCTTAGTTGAACTTTGCTGCCGCACAGATTGCCACCATTTTCAAGCAGTGATGGAGTACAAGTGATCGTCATGCCGAAGAAATGCGCGTTTAAATTGTTGACCCTATTCACGTGACCAATGGCAGCGTCCTGTCAAAACGCGCGTATCATACGCGCGTCCGATCTAGTTTTTTAAGTTCTATCCGGTTCGTTAGTAAAAACGTCATACACGCACGCGCACCACTGATTACTAGCGCCCATTGGCTACAAACGCTCAAGCTGCGTTAACTTCCGGTTCCAATCGTGCAGAAAGTGCTGGAGGTGACGTCACACTAACGAACCGGATATCTATGGTGCACGCATGTCGGACTTTAGTGCACGCACGTCGGACATAAATCACGGCTGTGATTGGTCAGAACACCATGGGGCGGTGCTTACTGGATCGGTCCATTGGAATTTGACTGAGGACTTGTGATTGGTTTGCAGGGACTTGATGGACTTGACTACATGTATCCCTGCCAAACATTATGGTTTCTTGTCCCTGTTACCTTGATACTTTGTAATTTGCCATTCCAATGTAATTAATAATGACTTCAAAAACCATCTTTTAGGCCCCGAAAAAGTTCAGTTTCTGGTATGGAGCTTGCCCCAAAAGTGGTGCGGCGAAACGGCTTTTTTTTAACCTTTTTTTCCCTTCAAAATGTCGGCTGATGACTGCCAATGGTGCCAGACTAAATTTAGTGCAAAATATATGGGAGCCCAGAGAGGCCACATAAAGCTTATACTCGATCGTAACCCCATCTAAAAACACGTTAAAATTGTGCAGCAGCAGGATTCCAGTCAAAACAATGAGTTTGGCAGTTTTGAGACATCATCTTACATTGAAAAAAAAAATCTTTTTAGTTTTGCCGACGCGCATGGCTACGGCGACGCGCGCGCATACCAGAAACCGGGAGCCTTTTTTGTTTGGCCTTTAGTTGGGTAGGTAGTTTGCTATTCATTATCACTTAGGGGCGGCTGCGAGTGCATCAAAACTATAGAATCATATCATGTCAGGGACAGGGACAGGGGGGAAAGGGGATCCCAAATTTATAGAATGACCCTTGCATACCGTTACTCAAGTCTTATTGGACCGATCCAGTAAGCACCGCCCCATGGTCATTCTGAACAATCACAGCCGTGATTTATGTCCGACATGCGTGCACAACAGTCCGACATGCGTGCACGCGCGTATGATGCGCGCGGTAGGAAAATGCAGTGTGGCATTGGAGAGGAGCACATGTTAATTTGCTCACGTGCGCAGTGAGAGGGGCTTACTGGATCGGTCCATTCTTGGTCAGAGTTGATAATGAATTGTACTGCTCGGCTGTAACAGCGACACGGGAAAACAGTGTAGGGCCTATACTAAAAAATATTTTAATATATGTGAAATTCTGACAAATATATAAACAAAAGATTTGAATTGAACAAAGTTCAATTTGTAGCTAAAACTATACATCATGAGTATACAAAAGGTGATCAATGTTGTATGAGCTTTTGTACATAGCAATCATCAAATACAAAAAAAATCAATTAATAATTCTAGTTTATACTTACTAAAAAGTGAGATGATAAAATTACCACTTTTACTCCTTATGCGGCAATACTCGTATACCATTTGAAAAAAAAAAGCATTTTTACAAAATAGTAGGCCATTATAATTTGCAAAATTTCCTTGCAAGGATTACAAATTATCTTGCTAACTTTCCAGGAGGATTTTAGAAATCTTGGAAATCTTGTTGGCATCACGAGGTCTCGTTTTCTGTGTAGTTTTTTACTCGATATGCTATAATACACATCGTTAGAATATCGCTACAGAAGGTTGGCAAATATATGCCAACCATAAATGAGTTAGTAAAAATATTAAGTGAAAATGTTATTTTTTTAAATCAATCAATTTGGTCTAAAATATATATACCTGGAAGGTATTTTAATGTTGAGTAAAATGACAATTAAAGGACACTCGTTATTATTCAAACGAATATATGGTATGCTGTCTGCAGCGTTTTCAAAACAATTGAGGGTACGGGTGTGTATAGAGTGTTCATGTTCGGCTACATATTATGTCTATTTTTTTTTACTGCAGATCAAAAGATTTCAAATTTCATTTGTTTCGCTTTCTCCGGGTTCTGTCGGTTCTTGTGTATTAGCAGTGGGTTGTTCCGTAGTTGGGGCTGGCTCTTGCGGATTTGAAGCCGGCTCTTGCGGATTTGGAGCTGGTTGACCAATATTCGGTGCTGTCTGACCCATATTTGGAGCAGCTTGGCCCATATTTGGAGCTGGGTGACCGGGATAGGCCGGTGGTTGGCCAGTATAGTGTGCTGGTACTTGATTGGAATATTGACCTGGATATTGGACCGGTTGGTTGGGATACTGAACCGGTTGGTTGGGATATTGGACTGGTTGGTTGGGATATTGTCCCGGTTGAGTGGGATATTGGACCGGCTGACCCAGATATTGGACCGGCTGACCCGGATATTGGACCGGCTGACCCGGATATTGAACCGCCTGACCGGGATTTTGTGTTGGTTGAGCGGGATACGGACCTGATTGGCCGAGATGTGGGGAGGGTTGACTGGGATATGGTCCCGGTTGACCAGGATTGGGTGTGGATTTATCCAGCTGACTGGTCGGTTGCATGGCCAGTGGCACTTGCTGGTTGTTCGTCGGCTGTGTGGCGTTGACTCCGGTCTGTTCTGGTGTCTGTGTCTGGGTCCGTGGGGTACTCTTGCAAACACGCTGCCATATGCACGCGCAGCTGACACTGCACATCACTAGACAGACAAGACATGCTATGATGATGACTAGGATGATACCTGGACTCAGTTCTTCGTAGCTCACGACAGCTGGAATAATAAACAAGAAGATATCCATTTTGAGGAACTTATTCACTTGTTTGTGTTACACTCCAAAAACATCCGGGTCCGATTGACCCGGAATCCGGGTTCTCTATTTTGGCTCAACCCTTTTCCCGGGTCAAAAGTGACACTTTTCCGGGGCAAAAATGACCCGGGGCACAATTAAACGACCCGGAAAAATGTTGATTTGACCAGGAGAAGGGTTGAGCAACGATTCCGGGTCAATCTGACCCGGATATTTATTGACCCGGATGTTTTCAGAGTGTAACCTATATACGTTTTCAGAGTGTAACATATACATGTATATATATATATATATATATATATATATATATATATATATATATATATATATATATATATATATATATATATATATATATATATATATATATATATATATATATATATATATATATATATATATATATATGAGTGAATTCATGGCAAGCAATGGACAAACCTACTCAGATTGCAGATAATGTCAATCTGTCCCCAGACAAGTGACAAGCTATGCAAATGATCTGCAATAAAGGTATGCCTGTTTGTGTGATCTGATTTGTGTACTGACTTATGATTGACCCCGTCAGCAACTTTGCAGAATGCACAGATGCATCGAACCTTCAACCACAGAGCGAGGAACCTAGTGCAGAACACAAGGTACTCAAAACACTTTTTATTTGCAAGAGGTATCCTCATCGGACTGAAATGTGATTTTCTGTAAACTCACCCCCTTCGTCGTTGTTGTCTCCACAGTTGTTGAATCCGTTGAATTTGAGATCAATGTCGATGCACCTGCCGTTGGCGCATTTGAGCTCGCCCCAGTCACAGGTACCCGAGGCTGAAAACAGGGGGAAATGGGTTGCATCGCATGAGTAAAAGTCTGGGATTCGAGCAAGTTGCGAGTCTGGTCGTGTCCTTGCCGATTGCTCTGCAGCCACCTTTGAGGTGTGTGCCAGTTTTGTTCAACAGGGATATACAAGTCATGATTGGACCACTTGTGCATTCACTGTTAATGAATTAACATATCAAAACATACATCAAAGATAGCTGCTGAATGCAATCGATCTAGTGTGCCTAGATCTGGTTTGGTCTGTCTGTCGGTCTGTCTGGGTGTCTGTCGGTCTGTCGGTCTGTCTGTGTGTATACGTATCTGGGTTTGGATCTGGATTTAGGTATGGACTATTTCTGGTTCTGTGTCTATATCTGCCCGAGTTTAAGTTTAGGTTTGAGTCAAGGACTAGCCTATGTCTTGGTTCTATCTATTCTATCTGGGTCAACGATATCTGGTTCAAAGGTTTGGTTCGGGAACTTTGTTTGGGTCCGTCTCTGACTTGTTGGGGTTGGATTTGAGCTCATTTGGTCTGCGTCTGTCTTTCTGAGTTTAGATTTGGATTTGATAACTAACATTATTTTTATTTTATTTATTTATTCAATGAAATTAACAGTGGTTATCCGCCACTTACAGGTATCATACATTAAATATATTTGTTGTACATAAAGTATTATTTAGCCTCGTCATCTATAATCTTCTCACCATCGAACGATGTATACGCCAAGAGAAATCCACGATACGCAAGCGAGGAGTCGGTCTTAAATCTCAGTCTGATGTAATTGGACGTGGACACGACATTGTGCGTGTCGTCCAAAGACCCACAGAAAACTCCAAGATCCGGCGTCGTTTGGAAGAGCCTGCCCTCGTAGATTTCGAGATAGTCGTAGGCCTGGCAACCTGTTCCTTGTCCCTCAACTGTGAACTCTTTGAAAGTGAGGAGGATTTGTCGACCAATTTCAGCTTCCAGAACTAGCTGGCAGTCTTGACCATTAGGGTAGGTCAAGCTACTTTGAGAGTCCAAGGTGCCACCGGATCGCCCAATGTTAATTGTCTGGCCGCAAGAACTGGACATGTACACTGTTTGAAAATGTAAAAAAAACTTTGACGAGAAAGATTCCTAAATCCCTCCCACATGACATTTCATGGCAATTTATTTCGTGATCTTAAAAACAAGGTGCACTACATTTTCAAAAACGGCATGGCGTTGCCTGGTTGCATGCAATGCTCACGAAGTAACCCCGATTTTATTTTGATCGTTCGTGCTGCGTCATGCATGCACAGTGGTGGCAAATTAAAAAGTTAAAGAATTAATAAATTAATAAATATTTGTTTTCTTACCATCTGCTGCCTCAGACAGGTAGAAAGACAAATGCAGTAGAAAGTAGAACACACGCCGCTTCTCTACAGGGTGCGCCATTATTTATTGCGACTTTGTAATTAATTCAGACTCGAATGCAAGGCGAGCACAGGTTGTTAGTCTTATATATGGTTTTCGCCTGCACAAAGCTTTAAATTTAAATTTGCGGATGATCATAACTGCACGTACCCCAGCCCGGAAGTACGTGTATTATTAGGCCTAATCGAGGTCACTTAGCAGGTCAAAGTCAGGATCCTTCCGGGTCACGTGCGAAGGATGTAATGGACCAATATCTCACACTGTGTCGGGTTCAGCAAACTGTTGATCCTTCTTCTTATTTTACAAAGGGTTTTTTTCGGGCCTATATATTTCCGGAAAGATTTCCTGTATGAAAAGGGGGAAATGACAGCACAACTAGGGATTGTTTGTGAGACATGTGGCGCACGTAATCAAGCTCATTGTTTGCAGACATGGAAGAAGATAAAAACAGAAATACGAACAACAAAGATGCTTCAGTTTACAAACCCCTCTCACTCAGCACGTAAAAACATATCTTTATTGTGCATATAATTGAACATCGACATGCATTGATGTGGCGCCACCGTCTCCCGATAGCCATGTTCGAATATGAGAATATAAAAAAAGCCATATGGCAGTTCACGACAGTCAACACGTTTGCTTGTATCCACCGCCCTATTCAAGGTGTCACACATTATTCTGTCAAGGAAATGCTGACGTCGCAATGCATTGTGGATAGTTTGCCATCATGACCAGTGCATGTCTGTACATTCCGGGCCAAGTGTACGATGACCCTAGGTCACTGCAGCTTTTATATCTATCGCCGATCCGCGATTGGCACATTTTGCTACTGACCACGGGATGAACCTATGAAAGATCCAACTCTTTAAAAATGAAAAATAGTTATTAAGGATTACAAAAATATTATTTGATTATTGAAAATACAAAATAATAAAAAAAAAACGCTACAAAATACTTCCTAAACATCTAATATGTAAAGAGCGTGTTATAAGGATTTTGTTTGGAAACATTTGGTGCAGCACGCGCTAGCAACAAAGTGATGCCATTCATCACTAGCGCGTTCAGCTATAGAGGTTAACATTACTGTCTAGTGTGCTCCCTGCATCAAAGCAAAGTTAAAGGTGCAGTTTCAATAACATATAAATATAAGGCTCTCCACATCCTTAACACACAGTCACGAAATATATTATTTTAAAGGAAAAAAACTGACCCATCGCATATAGATTTGTATTATTTTGTGAAGTTAATTGAACAAAATAAATGCGCATAAATTCTTCTTTCTTTAATGTTACAGGCTCCGTGTACAAGTGCGCCCTCAACGGCAATGACGTCATACAGTAAAAAGCATTCGCTCGTACCCACCGCCCTAAACAGGCAGGGCGCGGGGGAAGGGCTGACTTCTGGATGTATGACGTATTTTTTTCGAGTCCTCACTGGGTCCACCTCGTCCCCAGTGCTTACTTCATGTCCAACCTCGTTTCTAATATATAGTAAGCCCTGGATAGGAAACTTTCTTCCTGTATCCTGACTCGATACCGCAATTGGCAAGTATACTCGCAATTGTCAAGTATACTGGCTTTATATCGTGTACTCGGTGTTGTTAATCCAACGTGTATAACGTGTTTTCATGTTAATTGTAATTATTAGTCCACACCTTCACAAAAATAATCCTTTTCTTTCCAATTTACTCATATAAATATGAAAGGTATAGGCCTTACTGCATAATTATTGGCCGGATAAGGTTGTAACATTTTAACTCCTGTTTTCGAGACTTCGCGACGAATTGATTCTGTTTTTACCCCAGACACCACATACAAAAACAAACGTTGATGTAATTTACAGACAGACACCAGACTATTCCTTGGTTGCATACAAATCCAAACAAACATGATATGCAAAGATCCAATACCAGGATGGGAGAGCAAGTAGTGGAGGGAGCGTACTGCTCGAGAACCCGGGAACGAGGCTGAGCTGGGAATGGCCAACGAGCTATGCACGCTCTTACAAGAAGATCGGTGGTTTAACTTTTTCTCGTACTCTTGGTCCCGAATATAATGTGTACATGATAATCCATGCGCGTGAACCAGCGAATGGTGCCCTCACGCTGAGCACATTTCAAAATTTGCAGCAACCTTTCAATTTTAGCACTGACTCGAAACAGCAGGTCTTTTCACGAAACTGTGATCAAAGATCTATTACATGCAGTGGCGTAGCCACGGGGGGCGTGGGGGAGACAGCCCCCCAGTCGCACCCACTGAGATTTTGAGTTTCTAAAACAATTATCATTGATCTACATGACGCCCCCCATGAAATTTTCCAACCCCCCCAGCGCCCCCCCCCCCTGAAAAATTCCTGGCTACGCCACTAATTACATGAGCATTGAGAACGAGTACAAACCCCTTTATACTGAAGAAAATGAGATCATAGTGAACAATGAATTTTATATCATCATTAAAAAATTTCTCTTGGTAAGGCCAAAAAAAAATATTCGGTCTCTGGTCAGACCAAAGTTCCGGAGTTGACGCGGCGACGCGGCTTTTTTTTTCTTCTTCTTCAAGCTTGGATTGTACAGACAAGGTGGGTACTATTTTGCTTTTTTGGTGTCCTCATGTACATTGGTGTCCTCCATAATTTGCCTTGGTGCTTTCGATCATTTGCCTTGGTGCAATTTCCCATTCCTTGGTGCTCTTTGGTAAAACAAATTGAAGAGGTGCGGAAATAAAGGGCGCTGTTGGAGCTACCGCGGAACATTTTGAAAAAAAAAAGATCGACGTGCATGATTAAAATCGACACGCGCGCTGACCAGAGACCGACTTACTTTTTTTTGGCCTAAAATTAGGAAAGATATTTTCACATTCCTGATCATAAAAACACGAGGCATAAATCCCTGACGGAATTCATTCTTCAATTATTAACATCCAAAATTTCACAATTTTATATATTTAATATATTGAACACTAGAAACATCGAGGAATAAAATGCAACAGTCGTATCGTCGTTATCACTTGAATGATTTGAATATTTAAAAGCTCAGACTCAAGAAAATATTATAGTCAAAACAGACCATTGATTAAAGTGCATTGAAAGCATACACTGAGCTTAAACTTTACAATTATAAAAATCTACAACATTTAATTACAATATTACACCCACTTATAATGTATCCAGTATCCACTACATAATCTGTGATCAAAATCTAAATCACAAAAAAAAGATTAGAAATTGAATAACCTTCATTTGTTTTTAACAAACACACAGATTATTTTAAAATATCATTGATTTTTTTTCATCTGAAACATCTTTAGCCCCCTGGGTCTTCAAAATCGTACAAGTCGAAACACTGTACACACATTTTTTTTTTAACAAAAAAGGCAAGAAAGGCGTTGGTAACCAACAACGCAAAACTAAGTTTTGAGACATCTCACATTTTTTAAAGATCCTTTGATGTTTAAGTAAATATCTGACGTGATCATAATCATGACAAGATATATCTTGTACCACACATGATTCAAGATACCATATTTATTTTGGATTGTGAAATTGGACCACCCCAGTCCCATGTGCGTCCCCAGGATTTTTTTCTAGAGGGAGGCAAAGCACATTTCCCACCCAAAATCCATGTATTTTTCCAGCATATTCTCAATTTATCATTTTTGTTAAGGGTGGGCAGGGGGACATTTGCCCACTCCACCTATTAAATTAACAGCAATGTGACTTCGCACCTCTTTCTCTCTTTCCTTTTTTTTTTGGAAGGGGGGGGGGTTGCTTTCCCGGTGGGGGAGGGCCCCCTCGCTTCGCCAATGCACCCGACTCCACTGTTCAGAAAATTGTTTTTCTCTCTCTCTCTCATATCGTTTATATATTTCCAGCGCCATGCAGTTTATATATTTCCAGCGCCATGCAAGTTGTACTGTTCAGAATAGTATTAGCAAGAAATGGCACGAGACGACTAAAACAAGCGGTCAGTTAAAATGCTGATGAAATTTTAAACTAAAAATGGCACAGGACAGTCAGTTGCCGTGTCACGCGTAGCTGCTCTATTTTCTCGTCCGCACAACTGACAGCAACGTGAGGCCAGCGAACGATGGCCGTAAAATGGGCTTCAGAAAATTCGCAATTTTCATGGCAAACCACAACCGATCCAAACAAACAAAGATGTTTTAGTAGTTAAAGACCTACTTCACACATCCATTAGGGTATTTTTTAGTGAAAAAAAAGATTTCGTGCATTTTGACGATATTATTTCACGGACAAATCGACTAAAAATTAGGTCAAGAAATGTCCGGGTTTTTTTCGAGAACTATGAAAGTCTCCCTAATGTTGAGGTAATCAAAGGAAAGAGTGAACCTTCATCTACAAAAAATCTCGTGAACGTGATGTCGTTAATATTTCAAGAATTCGATGCACACCTAATGTTTCCAACAACTTCCATTTTTCACAACGCGAAAAGATTGTCGTCATTGTAAAGCATAGAGCGAGGAACCCAAATACGGTGTGACCTTGTGACCCATACGTCCACTGATTGGTTAAGCTCGAGTATGGCCTGCTTAATATTCATAAGTCATTCATTGCACGTTATAGCACGTGATATTCACGATCACAAACGTTTTCAGGCCGGCGTACTTACGTTCGTTTACACGCATACATGTGATTGCAAATCATGAAATCTCGAAAAAGTGTTCATTTTTTCAACCGGCGATTTGGACCAAACATTGGAAGTCTGCTGCACGTGTTTCACAAAAAAAATGAAGCGTATACTTTCCTCTATCTACTGAGCCTTGCCGTTTCTTTCGGCCTGTTTTAAGAATCAAATGTACACCTAAAAACTATCGGCCCTCGATTTTGTTGATAAAAAATACAATTTTGTTTGACAGGCCGTAACAACACTTTATATTTGTCAAAAAACAGTTATTTTTGGTATCAAAATAAAGTACACGATTTCAACTTTTCACCTATTTAACCATCTTGGCCAATTTTATGTAGTCTCGAATAAATCTCGTAATATCTCGCGTACGCTTTTGGGCCATGCGTGCTTGACCTCGGGACAAGAAACTGAGGTCAAACAGGGCTGCGTGCGTGACACGGCCAACGACTGAGGAAAAGTCACCGATGGTTTTCCACAAGTATGTCATTAAAACTACACCAATATACAAATGTAAAAAAAAAATATATAATAATTCACACAATTTTAACGTTTCGGATAACCGCCAGAAATTCACTGCAGTAACAGAGGTGTATTTCAGAGTATAATTTCAAATACATGTAGGCCTTCTCTCTAAAAGTTCCCTACCACAAACTTGTTACATGTACAATACAGACGACGACAGTTACAGATTTCTAATACTGCTAAATAGTATAGTACACTGTGAAACATCCCATGATCAAGCTATCATGATTTATAAGATGACAGAAACATGTGGGCATACGATTGTTGTTTCCCCACAGGCGTCAACCACAAAGGTCTGCACAACATCATTATGTGCATAATTAAGCAATAATTTATGCACTAAGCTGGAAAATTAACCAATCAGAATGCAGACAATCAGAGCTAGGAATTTGTAATTGACGCCTGTGTGTCTGATACCATCTTAGCTATACGTTTACATTATATTTTAATTGAAATCGATTTGGGATGATGACAAACACCAAATTGATACTGGAGTTAGGTACCCAGATTTTAAGGCCTTTTAATTGATCCAGATGTTAAAATAACAACATCAATGACCAAGCCCAAGCCAAGTCTTATGGAGAAATTAGGAACGTTAGCGGCAATAGATCAATTGGTGTCCAACGAGTCTGTCGCCACCAAGTGTCGCAAGTCACAACTCTACAATCTCCGACTTAAATAACGCACATAAGATATTTCAATTACATTAATTTCGTAGACAGAAATGGCTGGGCTTGACAGTCCAATGACATAAGGACCTAGACCTTTTCACCGGCAGGGTAACCGCCTGGTTGGCCTGGCGGATAGACCGGTTGACCGGCTGGATAGGCCGGTGGACCAGGTGGGTAGGCCGGTTGACCGGGTGGGTAGGCTCCTGGTTGATCGTACGGAGCCTGTTGACCTGGCTGACCGATCGGCTGCATGGCCATAGGAGGTTGTTGCCTCTGCTGTGGAGTCTGAGCCACGACCTGGTATGAGGTCTGCTGGGGCTGGGACCTCTTACAGCAGCAGTGGTAGCAAATACAGCCCACGCAAACGCATAACAGGACTACACCCACGATACAGCCAATGATGATTGCGACGATTATGCCAATACCAAGACTAATGGCATTGTTAAGTGCGTCATCAAGGCCACCTGGTAAAGAGAAAAATAACCACTTCAAGACATTTGTCGCCAACTCCAACCTATATGCTATTGGACTTACAGTTATGGTAAATTCAGAGATCTTCTCGGCACAGAAATTTGCTGCGAAAATAAATGTCTAACAGAGGTCATGAGCCAAAATTACATGTAATAAACGTTGCAAGTGACGTGGTTCTTTGCAGATTGTCGCTGCATGGACCTGATCTTTATTTTTTATTAAAGTTCATTGTGACACCAAAATATTTCTCCTGGTGTCTTTCACATCACCTAAACAGGGGGTAGATGCCATACTCCATAAAATATTACAAGCCAAAAACTTTTAACACTAATTTGCATTCACATTGCTTGGGGGTATTGGATGAAATGGGGAAGGAATATGTCTTTGGTTTCTCCTTCCAAACATGCTGACATCTGTTATTTGTCTTTAAAGGGAATATACAACATTTGCTTTTGCTGTAAGTTTCAGGCAAGGATGGATTGGGGGTTAGTATTATACAGCAAATATTGTTGCATTGACTTGTTTGAAGTTTTGAGTTCAAAGATGCTGGAAAAACCAAGAATAACTAATTCTGTTCTTGTAGTCTGGTTCCCTGGCCCCACTTCAGATGAAACGAAGCAATTTATAGACATCAGGGAATTGTAAGGGAAGGAACCTCTCTAGCTGGCTTTCCCCTTTTAGAGGCGTGAAATCGATTGCAAACAACACGCCGACTAGCTAAATATGGTAAATTTGGGGCAGTGTTTAAAAAATAGCCATTTTTTTCCAACGCTGGTCGGCCGGCAAGTGTGGAAGTTGATACAAAAATTCAAGTTTTCTTGAAAATTATAGCACACCAGGTGTCACGATTTCACAGAATGTTTCTGACTGTCATTCACTAACATCCCATTAAGGTATTTCATAAGGATTTGGTAGTTTTGCTTTTTGATGTTCGCAAATGTTGTATATTCCCTTTAAATAAGAATATTATGAAAACTATAAGATTGCAGGCTTTGCATGGTGGAGTATCGATATAGTTTCGGTTTGCGGTAACACCATGTGGCAATAAGTACTGTCGCTTAGTAGATTTAGTTTTGATAAGAACAATCCTGCTTATTTCTGAAAAGAACTTGTCTTGTTATCTACTTTTGTAAAGTAGCTTGGAAGGCGCATGGGCGTCACCAGGATTTTTTTCCAGCATTTTCCAGATTGCTGTTTTTTCGAGGGTGGGCAGGGAAATTTTGCCCCCCCCCCACCCCCACCCATTAAATTAACAATATGAATTCGCACCCTTTTTCTTATATTGTTTTTTTCTCTCTTTTTTTTTGGGGGGGGGGGCTCGTCCGGGGGAGGGGGGCAAGCGCCCCGCCCCCTCGCGACGCCCATGGGAAGGCGGTGGGACTTCTCGCTATTATCTTCACTGCGGCTGAGTGAGATATAAGTTTGGTCTCAACTCTCATCAGTCTCCTGACGATGACTAGAGCAGGCTAGTCGAAACGTTGAGACCAAACTTATCGCACTCAGCCTCAGTGAAGATAATTGTGAGAAATCCCACCGCCTTCCTCTTAACGAAAGTATATACAAGACACGTTCTTTTCAGAACTAAACAGGACTGCTCGTATCAGAACTAACTCTACTAAGCAACAGTCGTTATTGTGTTACCGCAAACCGAAATTATATTATTAAAACTAGTTTTAAACAATGGTTGATATGAATGGTTCTCGATCGAAGTGTGATCCAATCAGCACTTTCTTTGGAAGTATTATTTTCTGTTCTTGACATTTTCTTATTTTCTGTCCTTGAGTCCTTTTCTTTTTCTTACCGAAGGGATCTTCGTCACTGTTGTCACCACAATTGTCGTTAAAGTTGTTTTTGAGGGTAGCATCAATGCAGCGATCGTTGTCACACTCGAACTCATCAGAATCACAGGACGCTGAAACATTCAGGGAAGGTTAAAGGTCATGTGATGTCACTATATTGCTATGACGAGATTGCAGTTATAGTGGAATGTGAATATTTTTTCCAAGAGAGGGTCAGCGGCGAAATTGGATTCTAATTTTGTAGAGAGGACTTTTGATGGAGATCATTTTCAGGAGGGGCAACTCAATGGGTTTAAAAACAGAGAGAGAGAGCAGTTTTTGCCTTCCCAAAATTTAAGCAAGGGTCGCAATTAAGGAGGCGGGCCTCAGCGCCTCCCTTTTCCTTAGTCAAGATACTAAAAATAGTGGCAAGGACTTGAATGGCAAAGAATGAGATTTGCCAAAATCAGAAAATGAGGGGTTTTTTTTACCGTCGATTAAGCTGAAAGCCACAACAGGTGAAGGGCTACAACGAAAAGTGTACAGGTGGAACAAAGTGATTCACCAATTAATCCTGAAGGAAATTATCATTTTCCTTGAAGAAAAGCAGATTACATAATAAAGTTGTACAGAGGACACACTTACTGAGACCAGGCGACTTAAAGGATGTGTAGGAGAGGAGAAACCCCTCTTCTATGGAGGACGAATCCGTCTTGAACCTCAAAGTGACCGAATTCAAGGAGGAGACGATGTCACTAGCATACATCCCACAGATGACTTGGACCGGGGAAAGGATAGTGCTTGTCCCTTCATAGACCTCCAGGTAGTCCCCATCACAGCCCGAGTCACCACTGGGCGTTCCTTCGATGTCGACTCGATCAAAGGTCAGTAGGATCTGTCGACCTATGTCGGCAGTGATGGTGACGGTGCAGTCGAAGTCGTTTGCGTAATACATGCTGAGCTGGGAATCCATTTGGCCACCAGAGCGCCCAGCCTGGATGGTTTCGCCGCACTTCTCGTCCATGAACACTGGGCATAAATGGTCATTAAAGGAGGGCACAGATGGGGGGGGGGGGGTTGAGAGAAGACAAAACAGGACTTGCCTGGTCAATCTTAACCCGAAAGTTCTAGTTAAGGACCTATTTACACCAAGTGACTCAGTAAGTCAATCAATTATAACCCGATAACTTAGTCAACAGTGACTCAACCATTGTGTCGGTGACTCACTCACTGCGTCAGACAACCAGCCAGTCAGTTAGACAGTCGATCGGGGGGGGGGGGGTCAGTCAGCAAATCATGTGAATCGGGGAGTCAGCCAGTCAGTAACTCAGTCAGTCATACAGTCGATCGGGGAGTCAGTCGGGGAGTCAGCCAGTCATGTGACTCGGGGAGTCAGACAGTTGATCGGGGAGTCAGTTGGTCTGTCAGCCAGTCATGTGACTCGGGGAGTCAGACAGTCGATTGGGGAGTCGGTCGGAAAGTCAGCCAGTCAGTAACTCAGTCACTCAGACAGTCGATCGGGGAGTCAGTTGGTCTGTCAGCCAGTCATGTGACTCGGGGAGTCAGACAGTTGATTGGGGAGTCGGGGAGTCTGTCAGCCAGTCAGTAACTCAGTCATACAGTCGGGGAGGGAGTCAGTTGGTCTGTCAGCCAGTCAGTAACTCGGGGAGTCAGACAGTCGATCGGGGAGTCAGTCGGGGAGTCAGCCAGTCATGTGACTCAATCAGTTAGTGGACAACAGCCTGGCCCTTCGGGTCCAGAAAAAAAGCTGGAAAATTATTATTCCATTCTGACTCACACTCTGAGTAGAACTTTACTACCTCATTGGTTTCAGGAATGTTCTCATTCCAAATGGGTGATTCTAAAAAATGTGGGGTCCCCGCTTTTTCCTGTCCCTGTTTCATGTGACTTCTATGATTTTATAATTCTAAATGCACTCCTTAATGCAGTTGTCCTCCAAGAATGATTATGAATAGCAAACTACCTAACCAACAAATTAAAAAAAATCGTTTGAAGTCATTCTGATGCACATTTCAAAGTAACAAGGTAACAGGGGCAGGAAAAAGTATAAAAAAATATATCAAATTATATATAGGGGGAAAATATCAAAGTTTGGAGTTTGGACTTTACATTGATAGAATGACCCAAACATAAAATCACTCATCTGTTCACCTTAGGTTTCTAACCAAATTGAGGTCTGGCTGAGTGCTTCACGTAATGCTACATAAAACTAGATACAGAAAAACTCTCCAAAATGACCCCCCCCAAAAAAAAAAACACACACACACACACACACACACACACAAACAACATGGGAGACTGCTCTAGTCGAAACTGTAAGTTCACAGGAAAATTAAATTCTAAATTGTTCTTATAAACATTTTCCATAAAACTACAAAAGCTTTTCAAGCGACAACATTCACTTTGAGATTTAGGGTTTGTAAAATCATACGTGTGAAAATTATACGATGAAAAAATATACGTGTTTATAATTATTACAGAATAAAAAGAAATAGCGATAGTTGGTTCCATTTTTCTCTTTTCAATGGCGACTGCACATTGTCATATTAAAAAAAAAAAAAAAAAGGTGAAGAGTAATAAAAAAACAAGTCAGGTGTGTTTACAAACACAAATGCCCCGCAACCGTGACTGTTCCCATGACATAACACCACTCTTTTAACATCAACTTACATGTACCTTGGTCACATGGAACATTCATTGACAGCATTAGTGTCTTCTGTAGGTTTTATATGAATTAATCCCTAATCCCTATAATCTCAGAATAAATACAAGATTTCTATTGTTTTAGCCACTGTGAACTTGACCCTTGACCTTTTGGCCCCAAATTCAATAGACTTCTTAGGATTACCAAGAACAATCCACAAACCAAATTTGAAGTTCATATGTTAAGTATTTCTCAAGTTATCGCGCTGACAAGATTTCTATTGTTTTAGCCACTGTGAACTTGACACTTGACCTTTTGACCCCAATGCAATAGGCTTCTTAGGATTGCCAAGAACAATCCACAAACCAAATTTGAAGTTCACATGTAAAGTATTTCTCAAGTTATTGCGCTGACAAGATTTCTATTGTTTTAGCCACTGTGAACTTGACCTTTGGCCTTTTGGCCCCAAATGCAAAAGGCTTCTTAGGATTGCCAAAAACAATCCACAAACCAAATTTGAAGTTCACATGTAAAGTATTTCTCAAGTTATCGCGCTGACAAGATTTCTATTGTTTTAGCCACTGTGAACTTGACCTTTGGCCTTTTGGCCCCAAATGCGAAAGGCTTCTTAGGATTGCCAAAAACAATCCACAAACCAAATTTGAAGTTCACATGTAAAGTATTTCTCAAGTTATCGCGCTGACAAGATTTCTATTGTTTTAGCCACTGTGAACTTGACCTTTGGCCTTTTGGCCCCAAATGCGAAAGGCTTCTTAGGATTACCAAGAACAATCCACAAACCAAATTTGAAGTTCATATGTTAAGTATTTCTCAAGTTATCGCGCTGACAAGATTTCTATTGTTTTAGCCACTGTGAACTTGACCTTTGGCCTTTTGGCCCCAAATGCGAAAGGCTTCTTAGGGTTACCAAGAACAATCCACAAACCAAATTTGAAGTTCATATGTTAAGTATTTCTCAAGTTATCGCGCTGACAAGATTTGTCCGGACACACACACCCACACACACACCCACCCACCCACCCACCCACCCACCCACCCACCCACCCACCCACCCACCCACCCACCCACCCACCCACCCACGGAAGGACAAGGCGGAAACAGTATGCCCCTTCGGCTTCGCCGCGGGGCATAAAAAACATGAATGCATTGGAGTTAACGGTCATTTCTCTGATTAAACAATGTCAAAAATAATTTCAGTTCAGTGGATTCTCAATAAACCCGCCAATGTATAGCCATCTTCCCAATGTAACGATAGGCCTAAGGCAAAGTAAAAAAAAAGACATGTTTCTCGTCCCCGCCCGCTTCCTTTTTGGAGGCCGCCTGGATTTTTTTATTATTTTTTATTTTTGAAAAATGCAGTAAAAAAACACCGAAAAAGTCCACAGATTCATCGGAAAATAAATTGTAGACCAATACAAGTCTAAATGACACTGTAAATATATTCAGTTCTCTTGTCCAACTTAGCTTTCATTTTAAAAGTGTCTTTGAACAGTGGAAACACCAACAGTTGCAGGAAATTTTTAAATGGCGGCCATCTTGAAATAAATAAAGAATTAAAAATAAAAAGCCCCGCTTCCTTCTTTTTTTCAAAAACCCAGACGAGAAACATGGGTTTTTTTATTCGGCCTAATTTGTCCCCCAATGGGATGGTAAAAATGATCTCTGGACAGCAACGGAATTTCTATGAACATTGTTTTATAATTATATGTCATTTCGTTGTTATAATCGAGCAATAATGACACAGACATAGCCACACCCTTCACATTGTCGGAGCGTGCGTGTGAGACGCCATACATTATGCCCGCGATTTCTCAATACAGGCACGCGTACGCATAGACCTCTACTCCTACATGATCCAGTTGAGTCCATTTTTTACTCTATGCATGGCATATGGACGTGATAGGATCGAGGTGCTTTCAATAAATATCAGAGTACGAATCTTATTGTGATATATTTTAGATGATCGTAATTTTGTTTGTTTTTTTCCTGAACGATGGCTACCATAGCAAAACAAACATTTCGATAAAGGGAAAATTGTGGTGTCGTTTGTGCGCTTACCCTTCGCGATCTCGGCGGCATTTGCAGCTCCAATGAAAACCATCAAGAACCCAACAGCAATGATGCGTTGTCTCCGCAGATTCGCCATGTCTGACTACGAATTCCCTGACGCCGGCGTTTTGCGATGAAATCTCTCACTAAGAATTTGTCCTCTAAAGGTGAAAGCTCTGGCACTCCCTTTAGATGAGATGTGTGAATCTACGTGCATGCAACTCAGCTCACTAGTGCGAGAAGCTATTGCTGGATGCCCGCCTCACCCCAAGTTGTGTGATGCTTTTTATTCAAATGAGCAAAGCATTAGCATTATGTATGTACGCGTACGCATTATGTATGTACGCGTACACATGCATTGTGTGTACCCTGCAAGGTCAGCCATTCGTTTAGTATGGTACCGGTATAAAGTACGCATTTCGAGCTAACAACAACCATGCACTTTAACCTAGGCACGCGGAGCTACCCCACTCATTATGCACGCTTAAATGGGCACTACTGTCCCTGTTGTTTGCTAAATTCATCGAAAAAAATCTGGTTTGGGGTAATGTAATGGACCGCTTACACTTTCGTCAAAAAAAATCAAATAATTTTAACGGGTTGTGATCCACCAATTTTTGTAGGTCTAATGATTCGGGCCTGAGAAAGTTTAATCTTAAGAATAAACAAAATTAATTTCACGGTCACGTTTCAAAGAAGTGTAGAATATATTATGTTATCAAGTATTGTTCTTCGTACCTACCCCCTCCCCCATGTGAATTATTTTCGTTTTGCTGAAAGAGTACTTGCCTTTTTTGTGATCCGTGCACAGAACTATAAACGGTAGTGGTTGTGTTTAAAATTCCGTAACTTAAATAGTGCATAGTTGCCTAGTACTAGTTGTTTGAATATAAACTGGAAGAGAGCTTCTTATTGGGCTTTCATGTGCTCGCTTTTGAAAGTGCTTGCAGAACTTCATTAAAAAAACGGCCCTGGCCATTTGGGTTTCCTGTTTTTTACTCACTTTTAATACAGTGCTCCAGCATTGCCTGACTGACAATAGTGGACAATAAAGTGGTTCAGGAAATCGGATGTACAGAGGGACGGAGTTTGACTTTGATTGCAAAACGATATCCCTTTGACATTATCTAGCAATGTAGCAATAAATCCAGATCTACTTTGTTTACTATTATAATTACCACGTTTGTGTCATTTAAGCATACCGATTAATTTGACGAAATTGTGGAGATTTATTGTTTTCAGTATTTCTGGCACCAGAAAACTGTGTGCGACTTTAATTCAAGGCGCCACAGGATCGATCGCGGATGGATGATGCATTGTTAGTGAATTATTTACCAGACGGGAACAGAGGCCAGGTCAATTTGTCCGCCGTTTTGCAAACAAGAACTGTACATGAACTTGAGGTTATTATACCCGTGTGATCAGGCAACATAATAATGAGTGATTTGACATTGGGGGAGAAGTAAGCAGAGCTCCGACTGGAGCGCAGGAGGGGGGGGGGGGGTCGGGGCGTCTGTGGACAAATTAATGGCGAATGTGAGTCAAAACAAAGCACTAAATAAATTGTAATAACAAATATATAATTTTAAAAAATATTAAAACAAACCTAAAAACTCCTTTAAAAATGTCCACGTACAAAAAGAGAAGGAAAGAAGTATTTCATGGAATGATTTATTTTAGAAAATAATCTCAGTGTGCATGGCTAACAGTGCCGCAAATCCTAATCATATGTGGATTTGTGTATGGCATTGATCGATCGTTTGGAAATTCTGACCTTCGGTTGGAGGGCGCCACCAATGACGCACGATGAGGTCAGTGACCGTTGAGATTTGTGCATAATAGCTCAGCGATATCGAGCATGGTAATTAGTTCATTGTAAGCGCGCCTGCGCAAAGTGCATTAATGAAGTAAAAGGGGGAGAATTGAACATTGCTTGATTGCAAAAAAAGTAATGTTTGATGTTGGAGTTTTTAAAAGTTTGTTATATTTTCGATGTTTTTTTAGAAAGGCTTTTGCGTATACCATTGAAAGCAAGATCGAGATGCAATAACGAATTTATTTGAAATAAGTTATATAAACATATTCCGCCGATTCTAATTGATTAGTTGCTATGTACAAAGTTCATAAGTTAAAAAGCAGATAAAATTACATTGTTAACACATGGTACTAATCTTTGTACAAGTGTAAAGTACATGTATGTGACACTATAACGTTTTACCCATCGCCATTTTGAGGAACCGCCCTGTTTAATTATGAACCTGTGCGTATAGTGGTGAAAACTTGGTAGCTTTCATTTGCAATTAACAGAAATGGCCACTGCAGCTTTGAAAAAGATCAGCAAGAACCATCTGGAGTGCAGTATCTGCCAAGATAGATTCGACAAGCCTAAAATACTGGCCTGCTTGCACAGTTTCTGTGAGAAGTGCCTGGTAGACTACCACAGCGGCAGATATCGTAACTCCCCCCAAGATTCCTTGCCCGCTTTGTCGACAGGAGACGCTGCCACAGACTGGTGTGCCCGCCCTCAAAACCAACTTTTTCATCACGAGTCTGATGGCGGATGTCACACTGCAGGATCAAGTAGGTGATGTTTCACATGCACCGCTCTGTGATATCTGTGGCACCAACGATGCAATGCATCGCTGTCTGGACTGTTTTTCCCTGAAATCAAGCAGGATTTGCAGGCCCTCAGCATCCTAGATATGCCACTGGTTTATGATGAGCTCTCTATGTTAAACGTCAGAAGTCGGGATACTTGTGGTGTCAAGGATCTCTGGGAACTGCAGCTTGAACCTGAAAGACGGCAAATGCTCTACCGCTTGTTATCTGATGACCTTGAAATTGATTGATGGTCCGCTTTAAGATTATGTCCGTTGTGAACCCCTCCCCTAATAGAGATCTTTACAGCGACACTTGGTTGGGGGGGTTGACAAGACAGCCGCTCACTGAGAAAACTGTGTGCCAAAATCTAGCTGCAGGTCATAGGTAAATGTTTCTGACTTCCGAAATATATATCATTTTGTAGTTTTAAAGTGACAACACAACATGTCTCTGGCTGGACCATGTAGGAGCGTCCTTCGCAATTCAGCTTCTCAGCTGCGTAAGGATTATCCCAAACTTAAGAATTTAAAGTCAAGATCGGGAGCGAGTATACTGACGCCCGTTTTGATGGGCGTTATGACTCGGTGGTCAGATTTTGAACTCTAAAATTCGATGTAAAAAATAAAACAGGAAAAAAATAACAATACAGATTTGTATTTTTTGCATTAGCTTAGTGTTCTGGGAAACACTTTGCCTAATTGTTCGATTTCCTCCACTTGGCAAAGTATCATGAACACGCCCCTTCAGGAGCGACTCATCGTTTTTTACCTGCGAAGAGTCAGAAAATCATCTCTCTAATCATTTAGGCGTCAGCCCCACGGTATCCTGCTTCGGTTTATAAAACAATAGCCTCGTTTGATGCTGCAGACTTCCTGTAACGGGGTATAATTATGTGTCAATTCAAAGCAAATGAGGATTGTATGTCCAGAAATCTGATCTGGAAAGATGTGTCCATCGACAGCTGCTTTTTTTTTTTTTTTACTTTTCCTTTAAAAAGCAATGAAATACAGTTGTTTATCGAGTCTGACCAATTAGCAGGTCAGCTCCGCCTATAATAGTAAACCGCATTCTCCCCATCACTTTTCCTCAATTAAAAAGTAACACAAAAAGTGAAAAATGCAACTGATCGCAATAAATGTGAGGATGCAGAAATGCAACCTTTGAAGAAATCAAACCCAAAACAAACGATTTAAAGGGAAATCCATTTTATTCCATCAATCGGTTTTAAAACGCATTTAAAAGTGGACTGTCTCAATTTAATCAATAAGCAACATGAAACTGAAATAGAAATGTGAATATAAAACCTGACTCATGAAAACAAAGTTAACTTTGTTATTGTAGTAGATGTCAGATTAAATTCATTTAAAATGCGGTTTGGACTGACCTGCTTTTGGTCAGATAAACAATTGGGTATTTGTACACTATCCTGTAATATAGAGTTAATAATCGTCGGATTTGAACAGCGCCCCATTGAAAGTATGGCACGACCCCCCCCCCCCCCCCCCCCATGTAGACTACCTGTCTACATTTCAGCTTTAATTTTGCTGATGTCAAAATGCATCGAAATTCTTTTTTTCGAGAACAAAATACCTTGATGGATGTATGAAGTAGGTCTTTAACTACCTTAAACAGCTTTGTTTGTGTGTATCGGTTTAATTTGCTGATGACCCCCCCCCCCCCCCCCCCCCGCGCACATAAAAATATGGCAGTAGCAAATGTTAAAAGGTGACTTCACTTGCGAACGGTCTCCCCCTACCAATAGTCTTGGAAAAAGGGGCATTTTTACACTATATTGGGTAATATAGGTTTTCCCCGGCTATTTTAACACTTGTATCACACGAATTCCCTATATCGATACTTTAATTTCGTCCCCGAACATCGCCAAGCTCAATTCTCAATTTGAATTTCAAAAAGCCACCACTAGATTTCATTTAAGGTTCAGTATAATTCAAATTGTTAGCATTCCGATTCGTCCAAAATCTTTCAAATTCGTCTCGTGAAGCAATCGGCGTTGAATTGACAAAGCAAATTCGTTTTTTTTGTCATTCGTTTTCATGTTGTTGTCAGTACATTTCGTCCCTGGTGACTTATTTGAAGTCTTATTGCAAATGTGCACTTCTTTAAACATTTAAAAGTTTCCATGCTTTTCCGGAATAACGCTGTTACTGTGATGTCATTTCAGGAAGACACTATTCAGTTTAGGGTTTTTTCTTCCAAATTATTCATAGAAAATTTGCTAATTGAAAACATTTGTGGGTAAGGGTTTAACATTGGCTTACTGCCATGTACTGACACATCATATAATCACCAAATAAAAAAAAAATATGACAGCAAAACATCCAAAATTCTCACCATTTTTTTTGCAGAAATAGCCGTGTAACATTATTCATGCTTGGAATGCCATCACAGGTTTTCTAATGAATATGAAACTTTGCATTAGCATAAAAACGGAGAAGGCACTAAAAACACCCCTCAAAATGGAAAATAAAACTTGCAAATAAGGTTAAATGTGACACAAAGATGTATTTTCAAGGTTTGCCTTGTAAAGTTTGCATGGGCCCTGTGAATACGGTAAGTGTTGAGTCAGACATACGTAAGAAAACATTTAAGAAATAACGCAAGAGAAGTGTTCCCGCCGGTACAACCATTGCCAAACATACGTGTCCCGATGTCTTGCACGTCAGGAAATCGTCAACGTAAAAAAGCCCCTTGTTCAAACGTTTAAACAAGTATATAGAAAAGATCAACAATTAAAAGAAATTATCTTAGTCCCTTTCAATTCATTATTTCGTTGCATCTTGTTTCCCTCATATCAGTTGATTTGTAACATTGTAAATTTTACAGTCATCAAGATTTTTTTGGGGGAGGGGAATGAACCTCGGAGAAAAATAGGAAAAATATTGATTAAAAAATCTTACTAATTTAAATGACCAAACGATGAAAGCGATTGCCCATAAACGAATAAGAAACGAAAAGCATGGTTATACGATATAAGCGCACAGATGTTCGCTAATTTGAATGCGTCAACCGTCAAAAGGTTACAAAGACTTAATTTCAGACTGCTACAGGTCAAGTGTTGAATGCACTAAACGAAATAGGCTGCCCGAAAACGAAAACGAACATTCACAGCAAAATCTTGGCTGCCTAAAAATGAAATTGAATGAACCCTAAATGAAAAAGAAACCCCAATTGGACCACATGTGCAAAACTCACGCGAAATTGAATGGCTGATAATGAAACTGATTAGAAAAATTCGGAAATTCGCCGGGATAAACCTATAATATAGGTTTTATCGGTCAATTTCGGCAAATGAGCAGCCAATTTAACCACTACGCTATTCTATTTCGCGCGAAATCAAATGCTACTGAAAAGGGTCATTCGATTTCGTTTTATGACCAGTCAAATGTACTGTTGCGTCATTCGATTTAACAAAATAATCATGCAATTTAACAATTCAACAAAGCAGCATTCAAATTCGCAAGAGCTTTTTGAGGCGTGTGTTTAGTCATTCAAATTCATTTTTGGGCAGTCATCCAGCTGAAGCGCCTCCCTCCCTACTCCCCATTCCTGAACAGCACGGAGATGGCACACTCTGCACGGAGATGGCACACTCTGCATTCAAGGCTGCAGTTAAACGCATCCTTGGGTTACCTGAGTGGCAACAACGTGTCGGAGACAGACAGGCTGCCCAGCAAGCAGGAATGAACATGCAGCAGTGGAGGTGCGATCTCCTTCAACAAGCAGCCATCCAGAGCGTTGATGTCATCACCCAAGTGAAGTGCATGCAGTGGTACAACCATCCCCAAACATATATGCCAAGATGTCTGGCACGCCAACAGATTGATGGTTGAGGAAGAAACAACATAAACAATAAAAAAACAGGAAAAACATAAAGAAACACCCCATTCAAACACAATGCAAAATTAGGTCTTGGTCAGTTAACCAATAAAGATCCCCCCCCCCAAAAAAAAAAGAACGAAGAAGAAAACAAAGAAGAAGAAAAAACCTCATTAGCCCCATGCCTACTGGAAGCATAAATAAAGAAAACAAGGTTTACCTGAATTAAAGTGAAGATACGAAACAGTTGCCTGGTACAGTTTATCTGTTTATTCGTATTTCTTTAGTCGTACTTATTTGAATTCTCTTTAGCGAAATTGATTGCCTCTTTACGAAATTGAAAAAAATTTAATCAGTTAAATCTCCAGTCGAACCAGCTTTGCTAAATTGAATGATGATTGTGTGTCACGAAAAAGAATGACGATATGCTAAATTGAACACAGTGGAAAAAGGAATTTGAATGCCTCAAAACGAAATTGAATGGCCGAATTCTGAATTTGAAACGCAGTAACAACTGGAGAGGCAAAATAGCTTCAATTCGAACGCACGAAAATTAAATTGGCTGCTCATTTGCCGAAATTGACCGAGAAAACCTATATTGTGCATGATTGTACAATGTTATCGGCGCTCCACATTGAAAATATGGTATACGAGCCCCCCACGTTTATGAGACATCACGTTCACGAGATTTTTTTATAGATAAAGGTTCATTCTTTCCTTCGATTACCTCAACATTTGGGAGACTTTCGTCGTTGTCGAAAACAACCGGAAATGTTTAGTCGATTTGTCCCTGAAATAATATCGTCAAAATGCATCGAAATTCTTTTTTTTTCGAGAACAAAATACCTTGATGGATGTATGAAGTAGGTCTTTAACTTCCTAAAACAGCTTTGTTTGTGTGTATCGGTTGTGGTTTGGCATGAAAATTGCGAGTTTTCTTAAGCCCTTTTAACGGCCATCGTTCGCTGGCCTCGCGTTGCTGTCAGTTGTGTGGAAGAGAAAGTAGAGCAGCTACGCGTGACACGGCAACTGAGGGCGTACTGAACCAATTCAAGCCCCATTGAAAACATACAGTTCAGGGCCAAATAACATGCAAGCCCACATCACTGGGGTTTCTCAAACAAAAATTAAATTATTGTCTTATCCTTCATCTTTTTATTTCTTTTTTTAATTTTGGGTAGGCTAGCCAATTAATTTTTTAAATATCCACACCAAAACAAAATCACCTCCCGAAAAGTGATAGTTCCCAACTCTTCATGAAGCCATTTTACAAGTGGCATCCTTCCACTTTCTCATGCAAATAGGACCTATTTTTCAACGGTAATTTTATCAAGTCTACCCTCAGATGGAAGCCCCCAAATCCAGGGAGTTGATCCTCGGCCCTATTTAGACCTACACAATTCCACCGTTTTTAAAGCCAAACGGTCTTCTCAGAAGAAATTGTGTGTGGGGGGGGGGTACCTTATATGCTAATGAACTCGCGTAGAAATTCTCACTTGAATTAGTTCACTGCACCCCTGACTGTTCAGAGCCACTATAACTAGAGCTTTGTGCAAGTTCAAAGTGCATGCATTGTGACAGTGCTGATTCATTTTGCCTAGCGCCATTTTGAGGAAATGCCCTGTTGAATTTGTTGTGCAGTGTTGACAAGTTTGTATTTTTCAATTAAAACCGACAGAAATGGCCACTGCAGCTTTGAAGAATATCAGCAAGAACCATCTGGAGTGCAGTATCTGCCAAGATAGATACGACAAGCCCAAGATACTGGCCTGCTTGCACAGTTTCTGTGAGAAGTGCCTGGTAGACTACCACAGCGGCAGATATCATGACTCCCCCAGGATTCCTTGCCCGCTTTGTCGACAGGAGACGGTCCTGCCACAGAAGGGTGTGTCCGCCCTCAAAACCAACTTTTTCATCACGAGTCTGATGGCGGATGTCACACTGCAGGATCAAGTGGGTGATGTTTCACCGATCTGTGACATCTGTGGCACCAACGATGCGATGCATCGCTGTCTGGACTGTTCAAAGAACATCTGCAAGGGATGCCTCGGGTACCATAAGCAATTCCCAGATTTACTGGATCACACTGTGGCCACTTTGGAGGATATCAGACAGGGAAAGGTGGTGGCTAATAAGAAGAAAAAACGGGGAGGCCATTTCCAGTGTGGACAGCACCTGGGCGAGGTCAGGCGATTCTACTGCCAAAGCTGCCACGAGTTGATCTGCAGAGATTGCACGGTGATCGACCATCCAAATACTAAAGGACACGACTATGTTGATTTGAAAACTGCTTCTACCAAGCTGCGGAAGATGTTGTCAGGCAAACTTCCAGAATTAGATAAAAAGAAAAAGGGGCTTGAAGGCGTGCATAAAGCTGCTCGGGAAACGAAAGAGAAGCTCAAAACCAATTCCGAAAGGGCGAGTCTGGAGGTACAAAAGGGAGCTGCTAAGATGATAGAAAACATCGAGAAGGAGAGAGATCGGATTCTCAAGGAAGTAAAAAATATAACGGTAACTCGAAACGAAAAACTTAACCAATCGGAAAAAGATGTCACGACAACAATGCTTAGGATAAAGCACTCCCAAGAGATAATTCAGGATATCATAAGAAACGCAGAAGACAGCGATTTTCTTGCCCTTTTCCCTGAAATCAAGCGGGATTTGCAGGCCCTCAGCATCCTAGATATGCCACGGGTTAATGATGAGCTCTCTGTGTTAAACGTCAGAAGTCGGGAGACTAGTGGTGTCAAGGATCTCTGGGAACTGCAGCTTGAACCTGAAAGACGGCGAATGCAAATACACTTCCACTCGTTTCCTGATGACCTTGAAACTGATGGTTAGCTTTGAAGATGATGTCCGTTTTTTGCAACCCCCCCCCCCCCACCACCACCATTCAAAGTGATCTATCTATCGAGAAAACTGTGTGCACAAATCTAGCTTCAGGTCATCATAGGTTAATTATTCTGACTATTCCAAAATATGTATTTTATTTATGTGCCGAAAAGACATCACAGCAACAGAGCCCTCTTGTGCACAATGAAAAGTGGTTGACTTCCAAATTAAATAGTACCTTATAGATATACACTTGTAGTAAAATATTACAAAATCGTAAGGGAGAAACTAGGGAGACATGTCTCCCTAACGAAATTTACAGTCGCAAAATGCTTAAAAATAATGATTCCTTATAATTGATTTAAAAGGTTGAGGTGGGGGAGTATTTTCAAGTGGAGTTATTGTGAGGGTTTTGTGGTTTCTATTTGTGTACAGTTCTAATAAGGGAATGTTTCCCTAAGGTACCATTCTCATGAGGTACCATTATTTGTATTGTAAATATTGTTTGTATTAACGTTTTTTTGGCGTAATTTTCACCTTGTTGAAAGACAGAGAAACTTACACAACATTCAATGATTGGACTCCCATGACATTAATAATTAAAGGGCCCATCCAATTCATTTTTTGTAATGCTATCCTTGAAAATGAACATGTGTGACCCATTTAGACTAGCCTTTCGCCAAGGCCATAGTGGCTTACATTGGCGGAGCTGCGAAAACACGAAGCGACTGGAGCAAAGATTAAGTCAGCACGCACGAGTGGTAAAGCCGCGAGGCCTTTTCTAACTTGATTTTGTTGAATTTTACCAATGTATTTTGTATGCTTTAGTATAGGAGTAGCCCCCTTGTGGAAATCCAGTGTTTTTATTAGATGTCCCCAACCCTTTTATAGCTGTGTATCCCCCTGATATAACTTTCCCCAGTAACAACTTCACATTGTATGTATTAATTACCGGTACTCCCATGCCATTGGTTCCCCACTGTCCCATGACCACGTGCCCTGCCACCCTGTAAGACCACAGACCCCTCAGTATAGCAGAGAGAGGACCGTGTATTTTAGCTTTCTCTCTTTCCCTTGATTTTTCTTGGGTGTGCCTTCCAGTGTGTGAGTGTTTTTCTGCTAGGGTCATTGGTGAGTTTTGATATTTGGATTTTTTTTTTTGTATTTTCTCATTAGATGTATTTTTTTTGGTTTTTAGAAGTTTGATCTGTTTAAGCATCGTTCAGAGTTTTGACAATTAAGTTTTATAAAGTTCATGAACAGCCTTTAGTGATTTCAAGTTACCAGTAGAGTTTAGTGATCGACTTGAAGAATGTTTGCTTGTATTAATATGATGGATCCTGATAGCTAGAATTTTGGGATTTTGCAGAAAATTTGTATCGTCACAAGAAGTTTGAATTGTTAAATTGGGTTTTCTTGCCTGATTTTACTTGAGAGGTAGATGCATTTTATTGCCTTTTTGATTATTGGATTGGATTGTTTGCTGGTTTTTGATACTTGCGTTATTTTCTATCGAAATTTAGATTTAGAGGTTGGATGGAAACTGTGTTTTTTTTCATTACTTTTTTGTTTTAATGTACATGAAGCCAAGAGGAGTGGTTTTCCCACAGACTTCTCACTTCTTAGTTTGCTATGTTTATTCATGATTAGACTTGTTCAACATTCATTGTCGATAGACCTGCCTTTCTTTTATTTTGTATTTAGCCACCTGTTTCATTTAACCTAATCTGCTTTGACCTGTGCGAGTTTATTGTTAAAGAATTTGAATGATCCCCTTGGTGATTAGTCCCACCTTGCACTGGGTCCTAGCTCTATGGAAGAACCCACTGTTTATCTTGCTCATTAGATATTCACAAGAGATTTTGGTGTTCCTGCTCAGACTAGTACTGTGTAGTAGATCCACATGGCATTATTAACTTTGTTTGCATTGTTAACTTGTTTCTTATTATGTTCTTTATTTTTCTTATCTTGTCTTACAGATTTTCTGCCTGAGTGTTCTATAAGGTCCACTTATTATTACACACTGTGTAGGTTTAAGTTTCTTTAAGTTTTTGGTTTTAGGTTTAAGTCTTTGTTTTATACATGTAGTTGGTTTTACATTTTAGGTTTTAAGTCTCAATTTCTTGGTTTAAGGTTTTTGTAAATAAATTCTTTTTCGTCCAATTTGGTTTGAAATTTAGATTTGTGTCCCTTGTCTCTATTAGTTCAATTTTCTCGCGCCTCTTAGCTGAGTTTAGTTTAGTTTTTGTTAGTTAATCCCCATTGACTCTTAAGTTTTTGCGAGTTCCCCCATAGTGTGTCTATTTTCACGGTTATACACTTCCATTTGTGAAAGAAGGGTGAGTATTGGAAAACGTAAGAGGAAATAACTGTAAGTTCAGATGAAAAAATAAGTTCATACACTCGAATAATTGCTTTAAATACTTATTCGTAGAATTAAAATAAGATAATGAAAGAAAAATTAGGCGCTCACGATCTCGTCGAAAACTAGACTTGTTTTTTAAATTGCATGCAAGCATCCAGGTCTCCTCCGCGCATCCGGGAAGTAGCCACGCGCGCCCTGATTGGTTAGAATTTTGCAACCCTTTTAGTCGCTTCGCGGTTTCGCTGTTTGGTCTAATGCCGCGCGCGAAGCTATATTTTCTGGATGCCTGCCTCACCCCAAGTTTTGTTATGCTTTTATTCAAATGAGGCAATGGCCCCCTCTAGTCATTATGCATGTACATGTACAAATGTACACGCGTACACATGCATTGTTCGCACTCTACAAGGTCAGCCATTCGTTTAGTATGGTATGTACGCATTTCGAGCTGACAACAACCATGCACTTTAAGCATAAGACGGAAAACCCCACGCACACATTGTGTTTCGATTAAATGGGCACGAGTGTCCCTGTTGTTTGCTATAATTCATCGAAAAAATCTGGTTTGGGGTAATGTAATGGACCGCTTTCACTTTCGTCAAAGAAAATCAAATAATTTTAACGGGTTGTGATCCACCAATTTTTGTAGGTCTAATGATTCGGGCCTGAGAAAGTTTACTCTTAAGAATAAACAAAATTAATTTCACGGTCACGTTTTAAAGAAGTGTAGAATATATTATGTTATCAAGTATTGTTCTTCGTACCTTACCCCCTCCCCCATGTGAATTATTTTCGTTTTGCTGAAAAGAGTACTTGCCTTTTTTTGTGATCCGTGCACAGAACTATAAACGGGAGTGGTTGTGTTTAAAATTCCGGAACTTAAATAGTGCATAGGGGCCTACTAGTTGTTTGAATATGTACTGAAAAAGAGCTTCTTAATGGGCTTAAGTTGTGCTCGCTTTTGAAAGTGCTTGCAGAACTTCATTAAAAAACGGCCCTGCCATTTGGGTTTCCTGTTTTTTTACTCACTTTTAATACAGTGCTCCAGCATTGCCTGACTGACAATAGTGGACAATAAAGTGGTTCAGGAAATCGGATGTACAGAGAGACGGAGTTTGACTTTGATTGCAAAACGATATCCCTTTGACATTATCTAGCAATGTAGCAATAAATCCAGATCTACTTTGTTTACTATTATAATTACCACGTTTGTGTCATTTAAGCATACCGATTAATTTGACGAAATTGTGGAGATTTATTGTTTTCAGTATTTCTGGCACCAGAAAACTGTGTGCGACTTTAATTCAAGGCGCCACAGGATCGATCGCGGATGGATGATGCATTGTTAGTGAATTATTTACCAGACGGGACGGAGGTCAGGTCAATTTGTCCGCCGTTTTGAAAACAAGAACTGTACATGAACTTGAGGTTATTATACCCGTGTGATCAGGCAACATAATAATGAATGATTTGATATTGGGGAGAAGTAAGCAGAGCTCCGACTGGAGCGCGGGAGGGGGGGGGGGGGGGGTCGGGGCGTCTGTGGACAAATTAATGGCGAATGTGAGTCAAAACAAATACAAAAAAAAATTTTGTTAAATCGCCACGTGAAAAAGAGAAGGAAAGCTAAGTATTTCATGGAATGATTTATTTTAGAAAATAATCTCAGTGTGTATGGCTAACAATGCCGCGAAGCCGAATCATATGTGGATTTGTTTATAATGGCATTAATCGATCGTTTGGAAATTCTGACCTTCGGTTGGAGGGCGCCACCAATGACGCACGATGAGGTCAGTGACCGTTGAGATTTGTGCATAATAGCTCAGCGATATCGAGCATGGTAATTGGTTCATTTTAAGCGCGCCTGCGCAAAGTGCATTGGTGAAGTAAAAGGGGGAGAATTGAACATTGCTTGATTACAAAAAAAGTAATGTTTGATGTTGGAGTTTTTAAAAGTTTGTTACATTTTCGATGTTTTTTTAGAGAAAGGCTTTTGCGTATACCATTGAAAGCAAGATCGAGAGTCAATAACGAATATATTTGAAATAAGTTATATAAACATATTCCGCCGATTCTAATTGATTAGTTGCCATGTACAAAGTTCATATGTTAAAAAGCAGATAAAATTACAATGTTATCACATGGTACTAAACCTTTGTGCAAGTGCAAAGTACATATGTGACACTACTGATACGTTTTACCCATCGCCATTTTGAGCAACCGCCCTGTCTAATTATGAACCTGTGCGTATAGTGGTGAAAACTTGGTAGTTTTCATTTGCAATTAACAGAAATGGCCACTGCAGCTTTGAATAAGATCAGCAAGAACCATCTGGAGTGCAGTATCTGCCAAGATAGATTCGACAAGCCCAAGATACTGGCCTGCTTGCACAGTTTCTGTGAGAAGTGCCTGGTAGACTACCACAGCGGCAGACATCATACCTCCCCCAAGATTCCTTGCCCGCTTTGTCGACAGGAGACGGTGCTGCCCCAGACGGGTGTGTCCGCCCTCAAAACCAACTTTTTCATCACGAGTCTGATGGAGGATGTCACACTGCAGGATCAAGTGGGTGATGTTTCACATGCACCGCTCTGTGACATCTGCAGCACCAACGATGCGATGCATCGCTGTCTGGACTGTTCAAAGAACATCTGCAAGGGATGCCTAGGGTACCATAAGCAATTCCCAGATCTACTGGATCACACTGTGGCCACTTTGGAGGATATCAGACAGGGAAAAGTGGTGGCTAAGAAGACCAAACGGGGAGGCCATTCCGAGTGTGGAAAGCACCCGGGCGAGGTCAGGCGATTCTACTGCCAAAGCTGCGACGAGTTGATCTGCAGAGATTGCACGGTGATCGACCATCCAAACAATAAAGGACACGACTTTGTTGATTTGAAAACTGCTTCTACCAAGCTGCGGAAGTTGTTATCAGACAAACTTCCAGAATTAGTTCAAAAGAAAATGGGGCTTCAAGGCGCGCTGGAAGCTGTTCAGGAAACGAAAGAGGAGCTTAAAAACAATGCCGAAAAGGCGAGTCTGGAGGTACAAAAGGGAGCTGCTAAAATGGTAGAAAACATCGAGAAGGAGAGAGACCAGATCCTTAAGGAAGTAAAAAATGTAGCACTAACTCGAAACGAAAAACTTAATCAATCGGAAAAAGGTGTCACGACAACAATGCTGAGGATAAAGCACTCCCAAGAGATTATTGAGGACATCATAGGGAACGCGTCAGACAGCGATTTTCTTGCCCTTTTTCCCGAAATCAAGCGGGATTTGCAGGCCCTCAGCATCCTAGATATGCCACGGGTTCATGATGAGCTCTCTGTGTTAAACGTCAGAAGTGGGGTGACTAGTGGTGTCAAGGATCTCTGGGAACTGCAGCTTGAACCTGAAAGACGGCAAGTGCACTACCGCTTGTTATCTGATGACCTTGAAATTGATTGATGGCCCGCTTTAAGATTATGTCCGTTGTGACCCCCCCCCCCCCCCTCCCCTAAAAGAGATCTATACAGCGACACTTGGTTGGGGGTTGACAAGACAGCCGCTCACTGAGAAAACTGTGTGCCAAAATCTAGCTGCAGGTCATAGGTAACTGTTTCTGACTTCCAAAATGTATAACATGTTGTATTTTTAAAGTGACAACACAACATGCCTCTGGCTGGACCATGTAGGCGCGTCCTTCGCAATTCAGCTTCTCAGATGCGTATATATCCCAAAATTAAGAATTTAAAGTCTAGATCGGGAGCGAGTATACTGACGCTCGTTTTGATGGGCGTTATGACTCAGTAATCAGATTTTGAACTCTCACTCAAAATTCGATGTCAAAAAATAAAACAGGAAAAAGACAACAATACAGATTTGTATTTTTTTTGCATTAGCTTAGTGTTCTGGGAAACACTTTGCCTAACTTGGCGAAGTATCGTGAACACGCCCCTTCAGGAGCGATTCATCGTTTTCCACCTGCGAAGAGTCAGAAAATCATCTCTCTAATTAGGCGTCAGCCACGGTATCCTGCTTCGGTTTGTAAAACAATAGGCCTCGTTTAATGCTGCAGACTTACTGTAACGGGGCATAATTATGTGTCAATTCAAAGCAAATGAGGACTGTATGTCCAGAAATCTGATCTGGAAAGATGTGTCCATCGACAGCTGTTTTTCTTTCTTTTTTACTTTTCCTTTAAAAAAGCAATGAAATACAGTTGTTTATCGAGTCTGACCAATTAGCAGGTCAGCCCCGCCTTTAATAATAAACCGCATTTTCCCCATCACTTTTCCTCAATTAAAAGGTAACACAAAAGTGAAAAATGCAACTGATCGCAATAAATGTGGGGGAGCAGAAATGCAATCTTTGAAGAAATCAAACCCAAAACAAACGATTCAAAGGGAAATCCATGTTATTCCATCAATTGGTTTCAAAACGCATTTAAAAGTGAATTGTCTCAATTTAATCAATAAGCAACATGAAACTGCAATAGAAATGTGAATATAAAACCCGACTCATGAAAACAAAGTTAACTTTTTTATTGTAGTAAATGTCAGATTAAATTCATTTCAAATGCTGTTTATGATTACAGGCGGGACTGACCTGCTTTTGGTCAGATAAACAATTGGGTTACGGGGGGTATTTGTACACTATCCTGTAATATAGTGTTAATAATCGTCGGATTTGAACAGCGCCCCCATTGAAAGCATGGTACGACACCCCCCCCCCCATGTAGACTACCTGTCTACATTTCAGCTTTAATTTGCTGATGACCCCCCCCCCCCCCGCGCACATAAAAATATGGCAGTAGCAAATGTTAGAAGGTGACTTGTCCCCCTAGCAATAGTCTTGAAAAAGGGGGAATTTTTGCACTATATTGGGTAATAATAATAATGTGCATGATTGTACGATGTTATCGGCGCTCCACATTGAAAATATGGTACGAGTCCCCCCCCCCCCCCCCCCCCCCCCCCCCCCCCCCCCCCCCCCCCCCCCGTTTACGAGATATCACGTTCACGAGATTTGTTATAGATAAAGGTTCATTCTTTCCTTTGATTACCTCAACATTTGGGAGGACATGTTTAGTAGATTTGTCCCTGAAATAATATCGTAAAAAATGCATCGAAATTTTTTTTTTTCGCGAACAAAATACCTTGATAGATGTGTGTAGTATAAAACAGCTTTGTTTGTGTGGACGGTTGTGGTTTGGCGGATGTCTGATGGCGGATGTCACACTGCAGGATCAAGTGGGTGAAGTTTCACATGTACCGCTCTGTGACATCTGTGGCACCAACGATGCGATGCATCGCTGTCTGGACTGTTCAAAGAATATCTGCAAGGGCTGCTTTCAGTGCCACAAGCAATTCCCAGATTTACTGGATCACACTGTGGCCACTTTGGAGGATATCAGACAGGGAAAGGTGGTGGCTAAGAAGACCAAACGGGGAGGCCATTCCGAGTGTGGACAGCACCCGGGCGAGGTCAGGCGATTCTACTGCCAAAGCTGCGACGAGTTGATCTGCAGAGATTGCACGGTGATCGACCATCCAAACACTAAAGGACACGACTATGTTGATTTGAAAACTGCTTCTACCAAGCTGCGAAAGATGTTGTCAGGCAAACTTCCAGAATTAGATAAAAAGAAAAAGGGGCTTGAAGGCGTGCATAAAGCTGCTCGGGAAACGAAAGAGAAGCTCAAAACCAATTCCGAAAGGGCGAGTCTGGTGGTTCAAAAGGGAGCTGCTAAGATGATAGAAACCATCGAGAAGGAGAGAGATCAAATTCTAACGGAAGTAAAAAATATAACACTAACTCGAAACGAAAAACTTTATCAATCGGAAAAAGATGTCACTACAACAATTCTGAGGATAAAGCACTCCCAAGAGATAATTCAGGACATCATAAGAAACGCAGAAGACAGCGATTTTCTTGCCCTTTTTCCCGAAATCAAGCGGGATTTGCAGGCCCTTAGCATCCTAGATATGCCATGGGTTAATGATGAGCTCTCTGTGTTAAACGTCAGAAGTCGGGAGACTAGTGGTGTCAAGGATCTCTGGGAACTGCAGCTTGAACCTGAAAGACGGCGAATGCAAATAGGCTTATACTCGTTTCCTGATGACCTTGAAACTGATGGTTAGCTTTGAAGATGATGTCCGTTTTTTGCAACCCCCCCCCCCCCACCACCACCATTCAAAGTGATCTATCTATCGAGAAAGCTGTGTGCACAAATCTAGCTTCAGGTCATCATAGGTTAATTATTCTGACTATTCCAAAATATGTATTTTATTTATGTGCCGAAAAGACATCACAGCAACAGAGCCCTCTTGTGCACAATGAAAAGTGGTTGACTTCCAAAATTAAATAGTACCTTATAGATATACACTTGTAGTAAAATATTACAAAATCGTAAGGGAGAAACTAGGGAGACATGTCTCCCTAACGAAATGTACAGTCGCAAAATGCTTAAAAATAATGATTCCTTATAACTGATTAAAAAGGTTGAGGTGGGGGAGTATTTTCAAGTGGAGTTATTGTGAGGGTTTTGTGGTTTCTATTTGTGTACAGTTCTAAGGGAATGATTCCCTAAGGTACCATTCTCATAAGGTACCATTATATGTATTGTAAATATTGTTTGTATTAACGGTTTTTTGGCGTAATTTTCACCTTGTTGAGAGACAGAGAAACTTACACAACATTCAATGATTGGACTCCCATGACATTAAAAATTAAAGGGCCCATCCAATTCATTTTTTGTAATGCTATCCTTGAAAATGAACATGTGTGACTCATTTAGACTAGCCTTTCGCCAAGGCCATCGTGGCTTACATTGGCGGAGCTGCGAAAACACGAAGCGACTGGAGCAAATTAAGTCAGCACGCACGAGTGGTGAAGCCGCGAGGCCTTTTCTAACTTGATTTTGTTGAATTTTACCAATGTATTTTGTATGCTTTAGTATAGGAGTAGCCCCCTTGAGGAAATCCAGCGTTTTTATTAGATGTCCCCAACCCTTTTATAGCTGTGTACCCGCCTGATATAACTTTCCCCAGTAACAACTTCACATTGTATGTATTAATTACCGGTACTCCCATGCCATTGATTAATTCCCAACTGTCCCAAGACCACGTGCCCTGCCACCCTGTAAGACCACAGACCCCTCAGTATAGCAGAGAGAGGACCGTGTAAAAACGGTGTATTTTAGCTTTCTCTCTTTCCCCTTGATTTTTCTTGGGTGTGCCTTCCAGTGTGTGAGTGTTTTTCTGCTAGGGTCATTGGTGAGTTTTGATATTTGTATTTTTTTTGTATTTTCTCATTAGATGTATTTTTTTGAGTTTTTAGAAGTTTGATCTGTTTAAGCATCGTTCAGAGTTTTGACAATTAAGTTTTATAAAGTTCATGAACAGCCTTTTGTGATTTCAAGTTACCAGTTGAGTTTAGTGATCGACTTGAAGAATGTTTGCTTGTATTAATATGATGGATCCTGATAGTTAGAATTTTGGGATTTTGCAGAAAATTTGTATCGTCACAAGAAGGTTGAATTGTTGACTTGGGTTTTCTTGCCTGATTTTACTTGAGTAAGTTATTGCCTTTTTGATTATTGGATTGGATTGTTTGCTGGTTTTTGATACATGCGTTATTTTCTATCGAAATTTAGTTTTAGAGGTTGGATGGAAACTGTGTTTTTTTCATTACTTTTTTTGTTTTAATGTACATAAAGCCAAGAGGAGTGGTTTTCCCACAGACTTCTCACTTCTTAGTTTGCTATGTTTATTCATGATTAGACTTATTCAAGCCGTTCATTCATTGTAGACCTGCCTTTCTTTTGCCACCTGTTTCATTTAACCTAATCTGCTTTGACCTGTGCGAGTTTATTGTTAAAGAATTTGAATGATCCCCTTGGTGATTAGTCCCACCTTGCACTCAGAAGAAGGGACCCACTGTTTATCTTGCTCATTAGATATTCACAAGAGATTTTGGTGTTCCTGCTCAGACTAGTACTGTGTAGTAGTTCCACATGGCATTATTAACTTTGTTTGCATTGTTAACTTGTTCCTTATTATGTTCTTTATTTTTCTTATCTTGTCTTACAGATTTTCTGCCTGAGTGTTCTATAAGGTCCACTTATATTATTACACACTGTGTTTGTTTAAGTTTCTTTAAGTTTTTGGTTTTAGGTTTAAGTCTTTGTTTTATACATGTAGTTGGTTTGACATTTTAGGTTTGAAGTCTCAATTTCTTGGTTTAAGGTTTTTGTAAATAAATTCTTTTTCGTCCTTTTTGGTTTGAAATCTAGAATTGTGTCCCTTGTCTCTATTAGTTCAATTTTCTCGCGCCTCTTCCTTTCGAGATCCTGAGTTTAGTTTAGTTTTTGCTAGTTAATCCCCATTGACTCTTAAGTTTTTGCGAGTTCCCCCATAGCATGGAGGAAGGAATTTTCACGGTTATACACTGCCATTTGATTGGCTGAGAACTTTGCGAACTTTCGCTCAAGTTGAAATCATTTCAACTTGAGCGAATCTGATTGCGATGCAATTATTAATCGCAACATTTTGTATATTTCGCCGCGAATTTCGCTGCGGAGCTATTTCGAGGGCTTGGTGACGTCAAATTCGCTTCGCTTTCGCTTTCGCGCCGAGTATGAACCGGGCTTCAAACGGATGACAAAGACATGGCTAGCTGGTCTTAAACACTTTTCCAGTGTCACAATAAAATGTGGACTCCTAAAAATCCAGTGCCTCTTATCGTTTCATTGGTTGAACGTTCACAATCCTCACGTAGGCATGCGCAACACTACCATGGAGTTAGAATTTTATAGTTCTAAATTCAAAACGCAACGTGCCAGGTGCGTTCTGCGTGACATCGCGTAGAACATGATACGCGCGAGTCAATCTCCAAGTATGAACCGGGCTTCCATGTCTTTATCATCCGTTTGAAAGACCGGCCACGTGACGGGCTCTCGACCAATGGGAATGCGTAAAAAGTCTTAGGTATTTATGAATAATGTTTAAAGAAGTGCACTTTTTCATGAAATTAACCTAAATGGGATGCCTAATAAGTTTTGTACATTAAAGAGGAGTAGAACGTTGCAAAAAAAAGTGTTCCTAAGAAAAATTCACCGCATGAACCGTCTAACATAATAGCTATCATTGTGTTTGCACCGATTTCTTAAAAAAAGTCATGCGTATGTTTCATGAATTTAAACAATCATTATACATGTATAATAAACTGTAAATATCAAATTTCATGTAACCTGACAAGAGTACATTTTGAAGGCTCATGTGTAAAGGTATAGAGTAGATCATTTGCAGCTATCAAAGATGTAATTGACTTACCAGATTATTGTTAAACAAAAAACTTACCTGGTTTTAAGATAGTAATGGCGCTAAATTCCTTGTGTAATTATTCTTTCTGGCATGCTGTCGTTTTTTAAGAAAACAAGAACAGAAGGTCATTTCCAAAGATGAGTCAAGTGACAAAATGTTTGAAAATTTCCGTGAGTAGTTTGTTTGTAGTTGGGCGAATCTGTGAATGTTATTGCACCCGCTTTTAGATTTTGAGCAGTGTTGTTGATTCAAACGAAAATGCACAAAAATGACAAATTTTCTGCTGTACCATTTTACCGCATTCATAAAGACTTCTCTGGTGTTTGTATTGTTTATGGCATAACATTTTTTTCCCGAGTTTATGCAGTGCAATCATATTTTTGGCTTTTCATTCAGTATAAAACACACAATTTGTAATTTAATGACAGGAACGGAGCATTTTATAATCTATACTTAACACTTTTTTTCTGAAATCGGTACGAAACGATAAATGTGAATCAACTCATCGTTGTCACTAAAAATTAAAAAAAAAACATAAAACAAAGGGTTCTTGCCCACCCTCGAAAAATTATAAATCGAGAATATGCTGTAAAAGTAAGGGGATTTCGTGGGGACACCCCTCTAAAAAAAAGTCCTGGCGACGTCCATGTAGGAGGGCGCTGTTTGATTTAGCAGGAATAGTCTTTTGCATTTACCCAAACCAAATAGCGCCCTCGTTGTGTCCGCAATATCTCAAATAGGCTAATTGACCTCGTCATGTCGATATGGTTTGGCGCCCTGCATGATGTCGTCATGTTTTCTCAATTATCGATTTTTATTTAATGTATTTAGCACAGTGCACACTGTGTCCATTTTCTAACATAAATCATCTCGTTTTCCCCTTCTGTTTCATGGGGTGAGTTGGGTAATTTTTACAAAACATTTCAGTGTTTTCATTCTTTTAAAACAGTTTGTTCACTGCCCCTCCACTCCTGTAGTTCATGGAATATCTGGTATATCCGTAGAGTGCACCTTTACGAACAAATACACTGCACCCTGACCGTATTTAGGCCTAACCAGGACCCAATTTCACGGCGCTGCTAAGCATACGATTGTCTGCTAACAGAGCCTTCGTCTATTTCATGGAGACCGTAAGCATAAGCACAGCAAAAGGCACGCTTACTTCAGAGAAAACATTTGCTTAACTTAGTGACGTAACAATATAAATCTCCATGCATGCGCGACCGTTAGCACACACACGCCGTGAAATAGTGCTTAAGGTTAGCAAATTTTTCTGCTATGCTAAACACGTTTTTTTCTGCTAACTGTTAAGCAGCGCCGTGAAATTGGGCCCTGTAGGCAGCTCAAAGTTGCCATGAGTAGTAAATGTTAATTGTCAAAATAATCTCTGAGTTCAAGGTGCCACAGAACTATAAATCACAGTGTAGTGTATACCTCTATATTCTGTACAGACCTCGCTGATGTTTGCATTCACTCGTTGTAATCTTTTGTAACAAGTAGTATCGTTTTCCCCTTCTGTTTCATATGGGGCGAGTTGGGTCATTTTTACAAAACATTTTAGTGTTTTCACTCTTTTAAAACAAGTTTGTTCACAGCCCCCACTCCTGAAGTTTATGGAATTTATTCATTTGTCTTATTCCTCTAATAATACTCATTGGACACAAAGCCTTTTGTAACAAGTAGAAAGTATCGATCATAGAGCAAGTATCGATTGAGCACAATATCCGTCTCCCGAGTGAATTTATTCATTTGTCTTATTCTTCAAAATTGGACACATAATGCACCGCTATTCCACATATCTGTAAAGCTATATATATTATATGCGATCAGATAATTATGGCGATAAAATCATGCAAAACAAGACTGCGTCTTCATCTCCAGATTCTGACCATTCAGCGGGCGCCTTGTATCGGGTCTTCCGTAACCAGTTGTTGTTTACAAAAACATGGTAGCCAATTTGACCAATCACCAGCTTAGTCCACATTTGTGATCGAAATGACGTCACAGTTTCTAAAGTTGACTCCGATTGGCTGGCACGCGGGGTTGCATACGATTTGCATGCTAGGATATTATAAGACGTTTACTAAAGTTGACTCCGATTGGCTAGCGCGCGGAGTTGCATACGATTTGCATGCTAGGATATTATAAGACGTTCGTCGTGTTGCTCTGCACATAATGCTCAGACTAGTCTTCCTTTGTGTCCTGCTGCGGGGTCGCAAACGACACACGGCTTGTCTCCCTCCTTTTTCCTCATTACTTGATCACTTTAATACTGCATTAGTATGTATAATACGGCAGACTACCCGGCAGTATAATTTAGAGTTCATGTACTTGTATACTTCATGTGAATAATGGCGCCAACATTATGCAGACCACGCTATGTGAATGACTGGCTGTACCTTCACAACTATTAGGATGACACGTCTGGCAAAATGCAGCTTTACGCGCTGAGCCGAGTTGTATGCATGTAGTGAACTGATGCACAAGTCTCATCTCATTTTGAGTGCAAAGAACCGTGGCAGACAGTCAAACATGGCGAATCTGCAGATTCAACGCATCATTGCTGTTGGGTTCCTTACGGTTTTGATCGGAGCTGGAAATGCCGCACACACGGGTAAGAAAATTAGACTACATTGTACCACTTCTTGCTGTTTTCCTCGTCTGGAATGTATGTTTTGAACTGTGAGCAAAATGTACAGTTATCTTTGAAATTGAAAGCACCAATATCAGGGTGTTCCCCAACCCGATGTTCCCCAATATGTTCCCCGAAATCCTTAGGATTAGGTTTAGGGTTAGGGTTAGCTAGGGTTATAGGGTAAGGATTTCGGGGAACATCTGTATTGGGGAACATACGTATTGGGGAACATAGGTAATGTACCCCAATATCATACCCATAGAGTTAAACAAAAATGGCCTCAGTAGTAATACCGGTGTAGCGTGAATATCCGACTCCATGAAATGTGGACTCATTGGTAGTAGTGCGCACGCGTGAGTACGATACTATGTTATTTTTAGGATCGTTTGGGGAGAGTGACCTGTCACGTGCGAGGGATTAACCAATAAAAGGGGAAAAGGGGTCCGATTTTCATAGGAGTCGGATTTTCATGTGACACCGGGCCTCCTATATCTTGTGTTGACTCTATAACGTCGAGGAATGGAGGTCTGTGGGCGTGCTTGTGAAACAAATCGTATATAATGCGTAATTACAAGTACGTATGGCACGTCGCACGCACGCTCCGAGAATTTGAAGGATGTGGCTATATATCAAGTGCAGTAGCGGATCCGGGTGGGGGGGGGGGCACAGCCCCTATTTTTCAATATTTAATTTTTTGTGGAGAAACGTTTTGTTTGTTCCCTGTTTCTTCTGCTATCAACTGGTTATTTGATCACTTCAAAAGACAGAAGTTTCCACATGAGCAAATAATGACCCGCGTTATGTTTGGGTTTCGCCTACATTTTGTGCGCCTCACTGTCCCCTCCCCCTTCCGTAAATGCCGGATCCGCCACTGAAGTGACTGTACGCTGTGGCCTCTCGATCTCTCATTAGCCCGTGTAATTATTACTTGTACGATGAATATGATCAAAATGATTATCATCGCATCAAAAAATGTTAGAAGAAATTCCGTTTCTCTCCAGAGATTTTACCATCACATGGGGAAAAAATATCAACAAGAAACTGAGTACACCTGCGGCTTATTAAAGATGTACTGAACTGTAATTATTTCTAACATTCTTATGAGAGAAATGATAGAATGTAAAATCAAATTAGATCATATCGGATTTTATTAAATCTTAAAGGGAAGATACAACATTTGCAAACTTCAAAAACGAAATGATCAAATCATCACGAAATATCTTACTGGATTGTTAGGGAATGACAGTCTAAAGCATCCTGTAAAGTTGGGGCTCCTGGTGTGCTGACATATTCAAGAAAAACTGCATTTTTCCAACGCTGGTCGGCCGACCAGCGTTGGAGAAAACTGGCTTTTTTTTCAAAAAGTGCTCCGAATTTTTCATATTTAGTTCGTCTGCAGTTTCTTTGCAATTGATTACACACCTGTGAAGACTACAAGCCTGCTAGACTGATTCTCAGACCTTACAATTCCCCAAAGTCTATAAATTGCTCCGTTATATCTTAAGTGGCGTCAGGGAACCAGACTACAAAAATATGATTGATTTTTTTGGTTTTTCCAGCTTCTACGAACCCAAAACGTCAGTGTTACAATATTTGCTTAACATACTAATCATCCAAATCCATTTATTTCTGAAAATTGCAGAAAAAGCAAATGTTATACATTCCCTTTAAGTGTATATAAATATTTACCCTCGTCATTGAATAGGAAAGATGAGTGGGATTTTTTATGAAGGTGGCACTGAGAACTACCTCTGATATTTTTATTTCACCTTTTGGGATTCAAGAAAAAAATATTAATGCGTCTTTTTCAAGTAAGTTAGTTTCCCTAATTTTAATCTTTTCCTAAATTAACAAACTTAAAAATCAAGTTAATAGGTATCCAGAAATGGCTTGAAACTTTTGTATCATTGTGGAAAACATTAAAAATGTCCATGGTGATCTTTTCATCTGACCTACAGCTATGGGTCAAAGGTCAAAATAAGGTGAACACAAATTCGTTGGCCCGCAGCTTCCGAGATCCAATCGAGGTTGTTTACATGTATGAAATATGCAGCAGCACCTACTACTGCGATAGGCGCTCAAATTCATGAAGCCAATTTATGTATGGTGCTCAGCATGTGAGTCTTAGTGGAATAATATTGTCCGGATTTTTTTTTCTGGAACCCAAGGGCTAGCCTGTTGACCACTGACTGAGTCACTGACTGCATGCTGACTGACCGATTGACTGGCTGACTCCCCAACTGACTGACTGATCGACTGTCTGACTGACTGACCGGCTGACTCCCCGACTGGCCGACTCCACGACCGGCTGATTGACCAACTCCCCGATCGACTGTCTGGCTGATGGCTGGTTGACTGACGTAGTGAGTGATTAACCGACGTACACAATGGTTGTGTCACTGATTGACTTAACCATTTACTAACTTATTAAAGTTACCGACTGACTGATTGACTGACTAATGAGTGAATCTAAGTGTAAATAGGTCCTATATTATATCTTTCCGGTTTAGATTTTAGATTTTTATTCTCACCCCCTCCCCAATGTGTGCCCTCTTGTAACGACCCTCAGTAGTATACATGGACGAGAAGTGCGGCGAAACCATCCAGGCTGGGCGCTCTGGTGGCGTTGTGACTTCCCTGCGCGGCACATATTACGAGAACGACTACAACTGCACCATCACCATCACTGCCGACATAGGTCGACAGATCCTACTGACCTTTGATCGAGTCGACATCGAAGGAACGCCCAGTGGTGACTCGGGCTGTGATGGGGACTACCTGGAGGTCTATAATGGGACAAGCACTATCCTTTCCCCGGTCCAAGTCATCTGTGGGACATCTGCTAATGACATCGTCTCCTTCTCGAACTCGGTCACTTTGAGGTTCAAGACGGATCCTGCGGATTTGTTATTTAGCACAGAAAGAGGGTTTTTCCTCTCCTATACATCCTTCACGACGATATCTAATTTCAGTAAGTTTGTCCTCTGTACAACTACTTGTATTATCTAATCTGCTTTTTTCAAGAAAAATAGTAATTTCCTTCAGGTTTGGGTAAACTCTTTTTTTTTCCCAGCTGCACTTTTCTTTGTGTACTTTGTTGCTTTCCGCCTTCAATCGGCGGTTAAGAACTCATTTCTGATTTTGGCCAATCTCATTATTTGCTATTCGATTCCTCAATTGCAACTCCTTTTAGTATCTTTACTAAGGGGAAGGGAGGCGCTGGGGCCCGGCCCCTTGCGCCCCCTCTGCTCAGAATTTTGGGACGGCAAAAACTGTTGTTGCATGTATTTAAACCTATTGACTCCCCCTCTAAAAAATGATCTTTCCCAAAAGTCCTCTCTGCAAAAAAAAAATGGATCCCAATTTCGCCGTTATCCTCTCTTGCAAAATATTCACTGCAACCTCGTCATAGCAACAGTGACATCACATGACCTTCCCTAAATGTTACAGCGTCCTGTGATTCTGGCGAATTCAAGTGTGACAACAATCGCTGCATTGGTGCTACCTTCAAAAACAACATGTACGACAACTGCGGTGATAATAGTGACGAAGGTGTGTTCGGTAAGAAAAGACATAGAAATCAGAAGGAAATGTTAAGGACAGAAATACTCATACATGTACTTCCAAAGGAACGTGCTGATGTGACCTTACTTATATTAATTTTAAATATATAATAGTTGTATATAAAGATAAATACTGGATGTCAGCATGTGAAGGAGAAGCAGGCTATATTATTAATTCCCTTTCGCATCCCATACCCCCACTCCCAAAAAAATAATAATAATAATATATTGACGCAAGTTGTTGTTAAACTTTTTGGGCTTGTAGTAACTCCCGTACCGATGTGAAAAGCATCGGGAAATTTGTTTTAGTGTCACAATTAACTTAAAATGACAAAGATCAGGTTCCTTGCAGTGCATCTGCCAGGAACCACGTCACGCGCAACGTTTATTGCATGTTATTTTGGCTCATGTTTTCTGTTTGCTAGACAAATATTTTCACAGCAAATTTCTATGCTGAGAACATAGCTCTCTGAATATGCCGTAGTTGTTAGCTTTCAGGTTGGAGTTGGCGACATGTCCATAAGTGTTTTTTCTTCTTCTTCTAGTTTTAACAGATCTCGATCCAATATTAACTACTGACTCAGTCGTTTTCCTTAATGTCGGCATGATCGCACTCGTCGCTGGCTGTATCGGGGGTGCAGTAGTCATGTGCATTGGCGTATGCTGCATCTGCTACTTCTGCTGTAAGACGTCCCGGCCCCATCAGCAGACCTCATACCAGGTCGTGGCTCAGACTCCAAGGCAGCAGCAACAACCTCCTATGGCCATGCAGCCGACCGGTCAGCCAGGTCAACAGGCTCCGTACGGTCAACCAGGAGCCTACCCACCCGGTCAACCGGCCTACCCACCCGATCAACAAGCCTACCCGCCCGGTCAACCGGCCTACGCACCCGATCAACCGGCCTACCCGCCCGGTCAACCGGTCTACCCGCCAGGACAAGCAGTCTAACCGCCAGGCCAACAGGGCGGTTACCGCCAGTGAACTCTAGATCATTTTTTTTTTCCACTAGACTTTCACCCCAAGCCATTTGGGACTGTAAAATAATATAGCTGAAATATCTTATACGTGTATATGTGTAATTTAAGTTGCTGATGGAGAGTTTTGACTTGCAACACGGCCCAAGAATGCAGAAGAAAGCATCGTAGATTCACAATTTTCCGGGGGGCAATCCCCGGACCCCCCCCCCCCCCCCCCCGGCAGGGCGTGCCATCGGCGCGCCTTTTAATACCACAATGTACCGCTTCAACATCAAACCCACTCGTTTCCGGAAAACTATAGATTCTATAGTTTTCCGGAAACGAGTGGGTTTGATGTTGAAGCGGTGCATTGTGGTATTAAAAGGCGCGCCGATGGCACGCCCTGCCCGGGGGGGGTATAGATCCGCCCCTGTAGTTAGTTTTCAACATTCAACCGAAATCGGGACAAATATTAATGAAGTATTCCTACTCGTGGGAATATATGAAAATGCGTGTTGTGCCCAAGGCGCTTTACCTCAATTACTCCTCTCAACAGGTGTTAAATGGGTACCGGCATTATTCAATGCTGGGAAGGTAACAGACTCGCTGTGGAGGAGGTGTGGCGATCCCCCCACAGCAGCATGTCATGCATGGACTGAGTCTGATGGCCCAATCGCTTCGAAAGAGAGATGGACACACTCCCTTCCTGTGAACACAGGTTCGTCCCCTTTTTAGCTTTTACCTAGGGGCGAGTTAGGGGCAATTTCACGGTAACTTTCGTTTTTTAGCCACTTTGAGACTTTTATTTATTTACACACTGTAACATATTTAGTCTTTTTGTACATATATGAATATTGGAAAGCTTTTTTTTGGGGGGGGGGGGTGGCAACATACTGTAACTTTCGTTATTAAGTACATGAAAAGGACATGTTTATTTTTTTTTGATTTTTTTTTTGCAGGTCTTAATTCAAAAGTCTCCTCAGTCATACTGGACATGCATTGATAAAATTAGTGCAATTATTTGCTTGTAACTAAATTATTTATTAGTAGGGTAATACAGGAAATCTCATTGTCCTTTTAAATACCTTTTTTAGGTACCCTAAAATGGAGTTAACTTTCGTTACGGTAACTCACGTTACGGTTTGTCCGCCCATCTTTGGTACAAGTTTTAACATTTAAGAAAATAATAATCAACTTCAAAAATATTCCTCATTCATTCAACCAGTGGCGCACCCAAGGGGGGGGGGGGGGTCCCCCAAGAGGTTGTAATTTTTTTTTTTTTTTTTTGGGGGGGGGGTTTGTAAAAAACAATTTAGTCCCACGATTTGACCTTGGTGATATGCATGTGGCCTATTTCCGAATAGTAAAATAGGGGGGGGGGTAAGTGGTGCCACCAACGTCAAAATAGTCCTCCCCAAAAAAAAAAAAAAAAATCAAAACAATTTGGAAAAAAAATTGTGAGCCCCCCCCCCCAAAAAAAAAATCCTGGTTGTGCCACTTCATCAACCTGTTCATTCAATTTCAGTTACTCACTCAGTTCAACTCATTCAGTTCATTGATTTGATTTAATCTTTGTCTCAGTTCGCTTTAACCAGTTAAGTTAATCAATGTGTATTCAAATATTGTACAAGTGTGGAATAAATGGTCACTGTAAACACAGTACTCAACCAAAGAATTGGTACTTGACATTCTCCGCGAAAGTGCTAGTGATATTTAATAGAGAACGGGAACCAGTCTAAAAGTTAATCCTTGTCTTTCCAAACGAATACTGTAACTAAATATTTTTTTCCAACTTGGTAACAACTTATTATAGTGAAAAATCGGACTACTGAGTGTTAGGCCAAAACAAAAAATAATCGGTCTCTGGTCAGACCGAAGTTCCGGAATTGATGCGGCGACGGTTTTTTTTTTTTTTTTTGGTGTTTTTTTTTTCAAGCTTGAATTGTACAGACAAGGTGGGTACTATTTTGCTTTTTTGTGTCCTCATTATACATTGGTGTCCTCTATAATTTGCTTTGGTGCCCTTTATCATTTGCCTTGGTGCAATTTCCTCATTCCTTGGTGCTTCTTGGTACACAAATTTGAGGAGGTGCGGCAATAGAGGTCGCTGTTGTAGCTTCCGTGTTAATTTGAAGAGAAAAAAAGGTTGACGCGCATGATTAAGATCGACGCGCGCGCTGACCAGAGACCGAGTATTTTATTTTTTTTGGCCTCAGCTAAACTGCAGGCATTTGCAATTAAGTCACTTTGCTTATACTGTTTTTAGTCAATCATCCTGAACACAAATCTTGTCTTAATTTGGTTCCGAGTCATCAGCCTTTTTCAATAGTGAAGCAGTCAAACAACGTTTAGCTTTTGGCAACCTTGCTAGCCGATATCCATTACAATGTATTACCCATAGATTAAACAAAAAAGAATGGATCATGTGATCAATCGAAAATAAATTTGAACTAAATCGTAAATTTGCAGGATAAAGACAGTACCACATGCAACTGAAGGCCTACTCGCATTTATAAAGCAAATTTAAGCCTAAAACAATTTAAAAGAAAAACCTGTTTCTACTTAAAACACTTAAAATAGGTCTGGTTAGTGAATTCTGTGTTGACCTACAAATGAAGACACTCAAGGTGTGAACACTAACGCAAAGCCATGAGCAGACCCACAGAAACCAGCAAAATGGCGGCGAGGGAGGCCTGTCCACCGGCGGTCGTTGGGGGCGCCGCGCTGGGCGTCGTCGCCACGCCCTCAACAAGTCCCCCGTTGCACAGGTTGTCAGAGCAGCAGGTTTGACAGGTGATATTCTGGGCGTCACACCCAGGGGTGCACCCCCCGGGGAAAGTGCTGTTGGATATGCACAGCCTGTTGAGGGTGCTTTGCTCCATGTAGTTGGTCGTTAAAACCTAACAGGAGGGAAAATAATGGCGCAAGATACTCCTTAAGCCGAACTCTGCAAAGAATGATCAAACTTCATGATTTTATAATATTGATAACAACCTTACGCTGCCAGTATATACACAAATAAATTTAAAGTGTAGTTTATTTAACAAACTTACCCCGCACTGTCCATCGGCGCATGGAAATTGCACTACCCCGTCGCCGTTCGGGTCGAACGGATCGTTACACGCAGGGGAGCTGATGTTGCTAGCAGAGGGATCCGAACTGTATGCACAAAGGTAGCAGTGAAGGATGTCTTCAACTGCTTCCGCAATAGATCTGCTGTTACACAGATCCTCGTTACAGCAGTAACTGCATACGGTTCCCCCCTCAGGGGAGGTAATGCAGCCGGGTGTGCAACCAATAGGCTCGGTGCAACTTCTAGAATACAGCTCAGTGCCACCAGAACTTATCTTTTGAGCCTAAGGGGGTGGGGTGGATTTGTAATCGAGTTAAAGGGAATGTACAACATTTGCTTTTGCTGCAATTTTCAGAAATAAATGGATTTGGAGGATTAGTATGTTATAGAAAATATTGTTAAACTGACTTACTTCACGTTTTGGGCTTGTAGATGCTGGAAAAACCAAGAAAACCTATCATATTCTTGAAGTCTGGTTCCCTGACCCCACTTGAGATGAAACGGAGAAATTAAGGGTGCAGACCAGTAAATCGGTCCGAAATTGCCTACGCCGGCCAAATCACGATTTGCATGCCCTCAAAATCTTCAGTATTTGAGCATGCTGTGGGCCATGAACTTGAGGGTTTGTAAAAGAAATATGGGTGGAAGCCGTGCACCGGACTGGGAGCTTGCAGTTCTGTGTAATTTGGATGTAATTTGGACCCTAAAAGCGCTCTATTTTGCAATGGAGTGTAGGCATCGTTTTTCAAAATGGCGATGGGCTTCAGGACTATTTTCAGGGGTGATCATCTTCAGATGGAAATTTCTCCTAAAAGTCATCAGCTGACCCCCCCCCCCCGAAAATTGAAAAGAAAATGAAAGATGATGAAATAAGCTTTAATTTGATGTGTGTCTCGAACACCTTGGAGAGTTGTGAGTATTTTTCCCGAATTTTTGAAGTGGGAGCATTTACCATTGGGGTCTATGGAAGTTTATTTACTGGTCTGCTACCTATAATATCAAATGGCGCCTTCCATCGTTTGTTGTCAAATGTTTGCGCAGGCGCTTTACATTCCACGACAGTGGTTTTTTCAGGGGGGCGGAACCTGGGGGGCAGCGTTTCAAAAGGGGTCAGCAATGGCGGTTCTGCAACAAATGCAACCAAAATCTGAATGGGGCCGATGGACAGTCGTCCGATCACAGCAATTTCGAGCGAACAAGGGGGGGGGGTAATTTGGGGTCGGGAGGAGCAAAAACTCAATTAACTCCCGTTGGGGGCGCCCTACAGCAAGGTAGCCGCAAACAGATGGGCTTGTTTTCAGGCCAGAAATCGCAGTCAGAGATTTTTTTTCTCGCATTTTTTGATGAAATATGAGTCATCCATCCTTCCTCGTGCCGTACAAGTGGTTTGGGGAAATTTTTCAAAACCTCGCTTCTTTATAGAGTGCAGACCAGTAAATCGGTCCGAAATTGCCTACGCCGGCCAAACCACGATTTGCATGCCCTCAAAATCTTCAATATTTGAGCATGCTGTGGGCCATGAACTTGAGGGTTTGTAAAAAATATGGGTGGAAGCCGTGCACAGGACTGGGAGCTTGCAGTTCTGTGTAATTTGGATGTAATTTGGACCCTAAAAGCGCTCTATTTTGCAATGGAGTGTAGGCATCGTTTTTCAAAATGGCGATGGGCTTCAGGACTATTTTCAGGGGTGATCATCTTCAGATGGAAATTTCTCCTAAAAGTCATCAGTTGATTCCCCAAAAATTGAAAAGAAAATGAAAGATGACGAAATAAGCTTTATTTGATGTGTGTTTCGAACACCTTGGAGAGTTGTGAGTATTTTCCCGAATTTTTGAAGTGGGAGCATTTACCATTGGGGTCTATGGAAGTTTATTTACTGGTCTGCTACCTTAATACACTTTGGGGAATTGTAAGGTCAGAGAATAAGTCTAGCAAGCTTGAACCCTTCACAGGTGTGTAATCAATTGCAAAGAAAATTCAGAATAACTAAATATGAAAAAGTGGGAACGGTTTTTGAAGAGAAAAAAAACAGTTTTCTCCAACGCTGGTCGGCCGACCAGCGTTGGAAAAAGTTTTTCTTGAAAATGACAGCACACCAGGAGCCACGGTTTTAAAGGATGCTTTAGACTGTCATTCCCTAACAATTCAGTAAGGTATTACG